TCACAGAAGATTTGAGTATAGCCCAACTTTTCTTCCCTTTCCTGGCCTCAGAGGTTCAGTTCCCTGTCCTTGTCCTCTTTTGAAAGATCCTAGCTTGTACTTTGTGGTGTGTAAAGCTAAAGCTATCAGGATGGAAACATAGCGATCCTTTTCCCATCTGCCCACCCTTGTTTCTGCGTCTGATTCTCCTGGCCTTATTCCCTGTCTTCTTCTTAGTGTCTGAAGCGAGAGATCAGTATGTCTTCCGCTCAGTTTACCTTTTCTGTCTACCTCCCCCGAGCTCCTTTGTCCCGCCTCCATGACCATCACTACTCCCTTAGTCCAGGTTCTTAAATGTTGCTAAACTAGAGCTGTAGTGACTTCATTTGGCTTCTAGGGTCTACTTGTGCCCCCCCCCCCCAGTCTTCTGACAAAAACGGTCTTTTATAAATGTGAAATGAATCATCTCTTTGTTTGCCAGACCCAAATGCCTACATTATCAAGTGTAAATTCCTCAGCATGCATGATGCTTAAGATCTCTTAGAATATAGGCATTTTCTTTTTAAAAATTCCATTATTGGGGATCCCTGGGTGGTGCAGCGGTTTAGCGCCTGCCTTTGGCCCAGGGCGCGATCCTGGAGACCCGGGATCGAATCCCACGTCGGGCTCCCGGTGCATGGAGCCTGCTTCTCCCTTTGCCTATGTCTCTGCCTCTCTCTCTCTCTGTGTGTGTGACTATCATAAATAAATAAAAATTAAAAAAAAATAAAAATTCCATTATTTTCACTGTTCTTCCTACCTAGCTATTCTTCTCTCTACTCTGTGCACATGGAATGTGAAATTTGCTGACTTCTTAAAAGTACTGCATTGAGACATCCCTTTGTGCTTTTATGCGCTCTGCCTAGAATGCTTCCTTCCTTCCTTAACTGGTCATCTGCCAGCCATCCTTCAATACCTCGCTAGGTGTTGCTTTTGTTTTGTTTTGTTTTTAATATTTTATTTATTCATGAGAGACAGAGAGGCAGAGACACAGGCAGAGGGAGAAGCACGCTCCGTGTGAGGAGCCCCCTGCGGGACTTGATCCCGGGACCCCGGGATCACGCCTTGAGCCAGAGGCAGATGCTCAACCACTGAGCCATGCAGGCATCCCTAGTTGTTGCTTTTGGAAAGAGTTTCTTAATTTTTCCTCTTCCCAACCTCCTGTCCATGCTCTTGCACCCTTGCCCACCATGTTCAATGGAGTGATGCTGTCCAGTATGGTAGCCCCTAGCTACCTGTGGCTGGACAAATGTTAAGTTAAACTTAAAATAAAAAATTCAATTCCTCAGTCACACTAGCATATTTCAAGTGCTCTTTCACCATGTGTGGGCAAGGGGCTGCTGTGTTGGATAGGACAGATGAAGAGCTTCTTTATCGCAGAAAGTTCTATTAGACAGTGCTGCAGAGGGTTAACTGCCGTTTTCTCATGTGGCCTGTATCTTTGACACTTTGTCGATACTTCTTTTGATTCCATTGTGGCACTTATCATACTATTTACTTATTTATTTACATGTGTTTGTCTCTATTAGTGAAAGATTGGAGGGAAGACAATATATCTTCTTCATCTCTGTGTATTTGATTTGGATTTTAGGGCTTAGTATATTATTTGTTTTCAACAAAAGTTTGAGTTTAATTGATACAGTGAGGGTTTTTATTTCCCCCCATAGGATATTTTTTTTTTTAAGATTTTATTTATTCATGAGAAACAGAGAGAGAGAGGCAGAGACACAGGTAGAGGGAGAAGCAGGCTCCCTGTGGGGAGCCTGATGCAGGACTCAATGCTGGGACTTGATCCCGGGACTCCAGGATCACACCCTGGGCCGAAGGCAGGCACTAAACTGCTGAGCCAACCAGGGATCCTTGATACAGTGAGTTTTAGAAGGGAGAATTGCCTCTACTCGAAGACTTCTAATAGTGAAGCAGTAACATGACAGCATGTTTTATATATATGTATAAAATATATATGTTAAAAATATATATTTTGGTATGGTACATTTGATACTGTATTTTGATATGTCTCTTTTAATCTAGAAAATACTACTGGTTTTTTAATTATTATTATTTTTTAATGACATAGACATTTTTGAAGAGTTCAGACCAGTGATTTTTATAGCAGGTGCTGTAATCTGGATTTGTATGATTGCTTCCTCATGATTAATTTTAGGTTAAAGTGTGGTATGAGGCCCACATAAATAATTATGTGTGCCATTTATTGCATTATAGTAGGAGGCACATAATTTCAAACTGTCCATTAATGGTGATTCTAAGTTTGATATCTTAGGGTGGTAACTAGCATCTCTATTATTCCTTTTGTAGTGAAAAATTATCTGTAGGGTGACATCATGTGAATATCCTGTTCCCAGCAATCTTTTTACTCAATGTTTTACCATCTGTTCATAATCTTTCCTTGAATCATTAAAACACTGATGGTTACAAAATGATGATTTTCTAATTTTTACATTTATTTTGTCTGTATTTCCTCACATATTTCTGTAAAGAAGAGTTTTTTTCCCCACTCCCCTCTTTTCCACTTTCCTCCTCCTTCCCCCACCCCAAATTTTTTGAGTATCATTATGGACTCATGAATTTTTAAAATCACTATTTAATATGTTATAAAAATTGCCGTAATTATTATTTTGCCACTGAAATTATCCCATATTTGGCTAGTGGGAGCCCCTTTAAACTGGCTGTGTGTCCTTTTATATAACTGTTTTTGAACATTTTCTTGCTTTCTCAGACAACAAAGTATTCCATATTTGCCTTGTACATTCCTTGCTCTAGACCTGAGCTTAGCTTTTTCTACAAGTAGCCCCTGTTCCTGTTAGTGGAGAATAGTATTTAGAAACCAAGATCTGGTTGCAAGATATGATCATTGCTATTGAAGTAGTGTTGTTACTGCTTCTTCGGTGAACAGAGCTAGAAAATACAATTTTTTGAAAAATGTGCAGATACTTTCAGTTTGCATTCCATTGTCACAGAATCTCCCTCACCTTTCCCCATTTTATGTGGATTTCTTTTCTTTCAGAGTGAAAACCCTGCTTTCCAACACAACCAATACGTTTACTCATTAGCTCTATCTTTCAGTATTCTTCAATTGATAGTATAATGCCATTATTACACCACGAGCAAGCCTGCTAAGTAAATTTCACAATTTCTTTGCAATTTCTCTTCTCCTTAGACTCCATCTCATTAAAGATATATATATTCAGAATACTAATTGAAAGTTACTTGAATTCTTTTTGATATACAGCCAGCATCCTTTGTTTCTGTTTTACTTAGTTTGAGGGTTTGCTTTTTCATCCTTTTTGAAGTCTTATTCCTATTTTTATCCCCTCTACCCCATGCCTACCCATCCTTTGTGAGAGAGAGATTTTTCATATATTTGATTTCTGTACCATGTAGATGTTTTCCATAAAATTAAACTAACAGGATGATCAGTAATAATGGCTCTTTTTATCCTTAACAATGCTTTTGCTTCATGCCTGATATTAGTGTTTTCTACATAAGCTTTTTTTTGCCTGGTTTTCAGTTTGCTTGATTGTCTTTTTTCTATCCCTTTCTTTAACCTGTGTGTGCTTATGTTTTAGGTGATGTGTATACAATTTGAGAAACTGGTTTTTATCTAGGTTACTTTGTAGTTGCTTTTATGTTTGAATTGTTTTTTCTGCTCTTGATATTATTTGGCTTCCTCTTCCTTCCCTCCCTTTTTTAAAAAAAATTATTTGGAAGTAATACACACTATATCTCTTCTTTTAATGGTCTTTTTTTTTTTAATGGTCATTTTTAATGGCCATCCTTCTCATGCTTGTTGGTGCATATTGAACGGTCAAATAAACCCTCCTTTTCTTATGTACTACCAAATTAGGTTTGTTGAATTCTGGTCTTTCACACTTAATTTTTTTTTTTCCACTGGAAAAAAGGAGACTGTATGTTTGTTTATTTTTTTAATTTTATAATCTTAATTTGGAAAGAAAGGGTCTCAGTCATGCTATATGAAGAAAAATTGGCAAAAAAACTGGGCTGATCACCACCTTTACTTTATAGTCTGCCAGCCACCCTCTTGCCCCTGCCAGGAACCTAAGCACTGTTGAGGCCAGGAATACTATTTTGATTACTGCTCTATCCATTATGACTAGAAAAGTGTCTGGGCATTAGCTAGACCTCAATAGATGTATTCATTGAACGAATAAGTAGAAATATTTAGTCTGGAGAAGAATGAGTGGGACAGTAGTAGGATTGGGATGGAGGGCAGGAGACACGATGGAATGTTTAGTTTGAAGAGCTTGCTTGTCAAACAGTCATCTGCTTGGTTAGTATGGCCCTGAGGACTGAAGTGAACATAACAGCAGGAACACAGGGCTGTCTACTGTCAGAACCGTGTGGAGAAATAGAAAGTAGCTTCATTATGCCCTTCCAGTTACCTCTAACAGAACTCTCCTGAAATAACTGGAAGGGATTCAATAGTCCTTAATCGCTCTAAGAGTCTTTTGCTAAGTGGATGGAATGCATTGCTCTCCTTCATTTGCAGCCAGATTTAGGTGCACAGGTAGGTTAAATTTCCATCTTAGACTTGCCAGATGATGATCTTAACCTTACTAACAAGTGATCATTTAACAGCATAACACTACGCAGTCATCAGTTTGCATGCTTCCCTAACAATCCCACACGTCCTGGTGCTTTCAGTTTTTTGTTTGGGCAAATTAGAAAAGCAGATTGTATGTAGATTGTAAGTATGTAGCTGTATGATTTGCTTATTTGTCATTTTTCTAGCAAACAGTGAAAGGTAGCCTGCATATTTTCTCTCAATTTTGCCTTTGAATTACCTTTTTGTTTGATTTTAGAATTATCTTAGTTTGATTTAGATATTTACTGGGAGTGATGTACAACTTGGGACAAAGAACATGAAGTTTTATTAGTACCTGACGATCTAAACGAGTGCCTTGTGGGCTGCTTATAATAAAAATCTCTTCTTTTTCTCTTAGGGCTGCTGCTCAGAGTAAATTAGGTCACTACACAGATGCAATAAAGGATTGTGAGAAAGCCATAGCAATTGATTCAAAGTACAGCAAGGCCTATGGGAGAATGGGGTAAGTTTTGGCAAAATGTTCAAAGTAGTACCAAGGAGTATCAGATTTGCTATTCTTAATGTCTTGGTTTTCCATTTCCTGCTTAAACATTGCAAAGAAGATCAGTCTACCATTGAAAGAGGAAATGATTGCAACTTCTGTGACCTGGGATAGAGATGACCCACTTGTATGATGAATGGTTGGTTTTTGGAGAAAAGCATACAGAAGAGTAGACTCACTTTATGTTCAAGCCCACAAATCTCAAATGAGCATTCAATATTTTGGCAGACAGTCCTACTGTATTTCCTTCTACATTCACCTTACCTCTCTGAGTTGCTGCTTCCTACCTTCTCTTCAGATTTCCACCACACGCTCCATGGCGACTCTCAGCTCACGCAATTGCCTTGCACTTAATTAAGAAAATGGATGCATTTAGAAGAAAAGTAACTCCTCTTCCTGCTTCTGAATCCACCAATCCACCTGCATTTGTATCCTCACAGATTGCCTTTTGTCCCTGCTCAAATGGAAGCGTTCTTATCTAAGACTGGCCTTCACTCACGCTCAGCTCTCCCTTTGTACCTTCTCCGGGTCTTTATGCTTTATGCTTGGAATCCTCTCCTGTATCTTCTGCAACCCTAGCTTTCCTGTCTCTAACAGTGACACTGACTGCATGCACAAAGATCCTAGAAAATCACCTACTGGAACTGTCCTTTTCCCAGCAAGGCATTTCCCAGCTCTTCTTTCTCTGATTTGCTCCCGTGGCTGCTTGTGTCTGTGGTCGCATCTCTCATGTCTCATTTGCTCTCCTCTCACTCTGATAGGGGCTTTGTCTCTGTCACTCCACAGACAGCCCTGTTCGGGGTCTCAAGTTGTCAGTATTTTGCCAGGGCCGGTGTTCATGTCTGTATCCTTACCCTGCCCCGTGTTTTAGTATTTGGCATGATTAACTTTACTTTCTTTTAAAGTTTATTTATTGGGGATCCCTGGGTGGCTTCAGGGTGTGATCCTGGGGTCTCATGATTGAGTCCCACATCAAGCTCTCCACATGGAGCCTGCTTCTCCCTCTGCCTGTGTCTCTGCCTCTGTCTCTGTGTGTCTAGTGAATAAATAAGATCTTTAAAAATTTTTTTTAAATAATAAAGGTTATTTATTTATTTCAGTAGTCTCTATACCCACCATGGGGCCCAAACTCACGACCCCGATATCAGGAGTTGCATGCTTTTCTGAGCCACCTGGGCTCCCCTGCATGATTAACTTCTTTGTTAAGTACTTCGTCCTCTCTGCTTCTGCGACATCACACTTCCTGCATTTCCTTCTACTTTGCAGGATGCTCTTTCCCAGTCTGCCCGGCTGGTTCTTCCTTCTCTCCCACCTCTAAGTACTGAGGTACTTCAGGGCTCTCTCCTCTGCTGCCGCTGCCATTTTTCTGCTCTCTCTTCTGATTCCATCCAGTCCCATGCTTTTAAATTCCATCTACAATCAGTACTCATTATTTATGGATTCTGTACTTAGGAATTTACCTATATGCTGGCATTTTTTTGTAACCCCCAAATCAATACTCACTTGCTTTTTGTGGTCATTCACAGAAGGGTGAAAAACTTGAGTCAGTTGTCAGCAGAGGTCTGCCTTTTTGTTTTAGCTCTCATGCTGTAAACGAGTGTCCTTTTTAGTCTGTGTAGAGCTGTACTGGTTTTTTGCATTTTTGTGTCTTTTGTGGTTGATTTCCCTGTTTACACTGGCACCCAAATGTCGGCTGAAGTGTTGTGTCGTGTTCCTAATCACAAGGAGGCTACAATGTGTCTTATGAAGAAAATAGAGGTAATGTTTGATCAGAAATGAGTTAGTGCTGTTGAGTGTTGGTTCAGTGCTAATGAATCAGTAATAAGGTTTCTTTAAACGGAAACACACATAATATAAGATTATGTTTTGATTTGTTGATGAAAATGCTGTGACCTGGGTGCCTGGGTGGCTCGGTCAGTTAAGCCTCTGCCTTTGGCTCAGGTCATGATCCCAGGGTCTTGGGATTGAGTCCCCACATCAGGCTGTCTGCTCAGCGGGGAGCCTGCTTTTCCCTCCGTACATCCCCCCTGCTTGTGATCTCTCTCTCTCTCTCTCTCAAATAATTAAAAAAATTTTTTTTTCAAAAAAGAAAAGAAATGTTGTGACTGAAGGCTCACAGGATCCCAATTCTATATTTCCTCTGGGAGCAATTGTTCATTATTTGCTAATTTATTGTTTGTGGTGTCTTTATAGAATATAACTACTGTTGTTAACAAGACTCAACTGTTTATAATGATATAGATCTTAAGTAATGTCTGAACTCCATACTCGGGATCCCTGGGTGGCGCAGCGGTTTGGCGCCTGCCTTTGGCCCAGGGCGCGATCCTGGAGACCCAGGTTCGAATCCCACGTCGGGCTCCCAGTGCATGAAGCCTGCTTCTCCCTCTGCCTATGTCTCTGCCTCTCTCTCTCATTCTGTGTGACTATCATAAATAAATAAAAATTAAAAAAAAGAGTTTTGAACTCCATACTCATATATTCAACTACTTTTCATTTCCACTTCTATGTGTGACAGGCACTTAAAGCTTAACATGTTCCCCAAAGAACTTTTTTTTTTTAAAAAAGATTTTATTTATTTATTTGACAGAGCAGGTGTACAAGCAGGGAGAGTGGCAGGCAGAGGGAGAGAGAGAGAAGCAGACTCCCCACAGAGCGGGGAGCCTGACACAGGCTCAATCCCAGGGTCCCAGGCTCATGACCTGAGCCAAAGGCAGACGCTTAACCGACTGAGCCACCCAGGCACCTCCCCAAAGAACTTTTTGTTACTTTCTTAAATCTTTTCCATCTCAATAAATGGTACCTCATTTACCTACTAGTGCCAGAAAGTCAAAAAAGCCTAGTAGTTATCCTTCATTATTATTATGCCTGACAGGATTAATCTATCAGCAAGTCCTGTCCATTCTGATTTCAATTATATCTTGAATTCAAGCATTGAATGCTCTCTTGCTTCTAACCCTAGTCCAAATCACCATCTTTTACCTAGGCTACTGCGGTAGCTTCGTAACTGGTCCCCCTGCCACCATTCTACCCATACCCATGTTGATCATCTGCAGAAAAGCCAGAATGAATGTTTTTATTTGTTTGTTTTTTGAGCAATGTGGCGAAAGGACAGGGAGGGAGGGAGGGAGGGAGGGAGGGAGGGAGGAAGGAGGAAAGGGCAGAGGGAGAAAGAAAGAATCTTAAGCTCCATAGATGTGCAGCATGCAGGGCTCAATCAATCTCACAACCCTGAGATCATGACCTGAGCCGAAATCAAGAGTCACAGGCTTAATGGACTGAGCCACCCAGGCGCCCCCAGAGTGCATGTTTAAAGCACAAATCAGATCTGTCACTCCATTGCAGCCAGAATAAAATCCAGACTCCAGACTGCGATCTTACATGGTCTGGCTCCTGATTATTTTATTCCCTGACATCATCTTTCCACACTATTTTCTGTGCTTCCTCATCAGCTCTTGTCCGGTTCCTTAAGGATGCCAAACGCATTGTTCTCAGCACTTTGTGTTTACAGTGTCTTCTGTTTCGAATGCTCCTTTGATTTACAAGTGACTGCTTTCTTCTCATCACTCAGGTCTTTTCACTGTGGCTGTCTTTGAGCAGCTCCCCTTCTCTTTAATACTATGATTTTATTTGTGTGTGTATTGCTTATCTTCCCAGGTAGGATGAAGTTTTCTTAACCTCAAGGACTTCATCTTTCTCTTTGTGAACTATAAAATAGTATCTGGTATGCAGTAGGGTTTTTTTTTTTTTTTGTTTGTTTCTTTGGTTTAGAAATGTTTTTTTTAAATATTTTATTTAAATTCAAATTTACCAACATATAGTATAATACCTAGTGCTCATCTCATCATGTGCCTTCCTTAGTACCCATCACCCCATTACCCCATCCCCCCTCCTACCTCCCCTTCACGAGGTAGGGTTTCAATAAATATTTATTGAATCTTGATTAACTGATTACTCTGAAGTAATATCTTTATTGTTGACTGGAAGAAAATCAGGTTCTGAGAATTTTTCTGTGTTTAGACACTGAATTTTGTTTTGATCAGAGGTCTGGGAGGTAAGTCATCCAAGAAAGAGAGTAATTTGTTAAAAACAGAACAAATAAAAACCCTCAATACTATCTGTCCATATATACTATTACTGTATAGTTTGGAAGTAATTTTCTGATAAATTCTAACTAGATAGAGGATAACAAAATTTAATAACTAAGTCTTTGATCTGTGCCTGGGTTAATAATGTGTTGAGTGGTAAAGGATCTTAATTTTATCTACTTAAGTTAATACGACTTCTTCAGGAGTAGTCCACTGATACCCCATAGCCCATTTTTATTTTTTTAAATGGTGAATTGATATTTATTGTGGCTCAGTGTATCTGTTAGGAAGAAGGAAGAAAGTGGGACATTAGGAAGCACACATCTAGTTAAGTCCTTAAAATGATTTTAGCATCATGGAGCTATAATGGCCACAGGTTGTTAGCTCACATCTTTGTGGAGCTTTGCCATTACTAAGGCAGATTACTTAACATATTAAGCTTAAAATTTGAAAGGTAGGTAAGGTTCATTTCTAAGCATTAAATTCATGACTTACGGGACAACGTTTCGGGATGGCCAAGGTTGTCAGCAAGCAGAATGGAAAGAGTCCAGATTTAAGAATCTTGAAATTAGAAGGAATTTTGGTGATATCCCTGTGAATCATAGTACAGTGGATAAAGTAAGTGTAGTGTGGATTCAGATTGACTACTGAGGCAGATGTTTGACTGTTGGTGATGTCCTGATGTTCTTTAATCATGTATCTTACACTCTTCTATTTTATTCTTTTCAGACTGGCCCTCACCGCCATAAATAAATTCGAAGAAGCAGTTACAAGTTATCAAAAGGCGTTAGATCTTGACCCTGAAAATGATTCTTACAAGTCAAATCTGAAAATAGCAGAACAGAAGTTAAGAGAGGTATCCAGTCCTGTAAGTTATTGATGACAGATGACGGCAATATTTTCTGTCATTCACAATTTATTACAATCAAATTGCAGTGGTTAAAATAATTCTCAAATATCATTGTTTTACAGACAGGAACTGGATTGAGCTTTGACATGGCTAGTTTAATAAATAATCCAGCCTTCATTAGTATGGTGAGTAGATTTCCTTTTCTGTTCTGCTGGCTGTCTTTCCATAGCGTTATATGGTTCCCAGGCTTTTAGAAACATACAAGGGAGCTTTGGTGGTGGGGGGTAGGGGTGGTGGTAGGGGTGATATAATACTCTGGCTCAGGTTTTTAACCTGCTTGTGTACCTCTTTGTGAGAAAGCCATGGAGAGACTTTAGGAGGCCCATGGATTCCCTGAAATTGTATATAAAAATTTGTATGTATGTGTACCTATGCATTTTTTAGGGAGAGAACTGTATTTTTCATCCGATGGGCAAAGGGGTCTGAAAATCAAAAGGTTAAAAACAACTCTTTTCTGTGAAAGCGGTCCTAGGAAGATCTCTAGTAATTGAGGTCTGAGTGGTTTGACTGTCACGGTACCCTAAGGTCTCCTCTTTTAGTCTGCTTCCTTTCTACCCTGAGTTTATTTGAACTTTTAGTATAATCCTCATATGTATGTATTTAATCCTTCAACAAAATCACTCATGGATCTTTTTGAAGACACACATGCTCTGATCCAGTTTGTGGAAACTGATTTAGTGGGTCGGGGATGTTACGTGGCCATGTAAAGCTCCTTGAGTGACCATTCGTTCCACTACATGCCATGCCCTTGGAAGGCGGCAGTGCCACTTGTATTCATCTTTGGTTCTTTCAAAAAAAAAATGTGCCCTGCATCCACGGTATCTTTGTTTGTATTGAAATGCACAGATGGCTCATTCTTGATGAAATAAAAAAGTCTTTTAAACAATTAGTAGGTTTATAGCAACTGGCAGTGTACAACTGGTAGTTGAAATCTTTGTAGACAGTAGTTAATTTTTGAATCATTGACTCTAAATGAGGTGTTGGGAAAGCCACCACTTGCTTTTATTATCAGAGATAATTATTTGACCTGCAAATAATTCAGTAACTTCTCAAGTCTCAGGATTGAACTCATCAAATTTAAGTTGGTCTTCTTAATCTACATGCCAGCAATAATGTCTCTCTGTGGGTTTTGGGACATCTTTAGCATCGTTACCCATTTCCAGGCCTCAGGTGATGCTATTATACAGGAAAAGGGATTTCTTCTAGTTTCAGATTTGTTTTAGTGCTCAAACTGCTGTGTACCAAAGTGAAGTGTTGTAAAAGGTGGCAGTTAAAAACCTATCGTGTGGCTTGTAAGAAGAGTCGGGTTGATAGAGTAAGAGGATTTTTGGAGGAAGCTATTGGAGTTAGAGAGCCCTTTTCCACTTGCTGAGAAGTAAGGGAACCTGCCCTCCTCTCAGCCCCACAGAGAGAGGGCTTTTCTGGCCCCCTCAGAGAGCTTTCTATGTGGCCCTCCGGGCGGAACACAGCAGACTGGAGTCTGGCCCGTTAGCTAACGAAGCCTGTGTGGTTTAGCAAGTAACTGTACCAATGGCAGTGGAGTGGAGGAGGTGTGCTTCCTGTGGATCACTGTGCGCCCGGGAGCTCATCTAGTCCGGGGTGATCCACCCAGAGGGGCCTCCTGGAAGGTGACAGGACCACGACACGTCGTCTCTAGCGGAGGACTGCAAAAGACTTGGGACCGCACGGAAAGTCTCAGCGTCTATCCAGAGAGTAAAGTCCCTTTCTCAGAGGACAGAGGAGAAATGCCCAGAGTGGTGGGGGTGGGAAAAGTTTCTGAAGGACCTTAGAAAGAGCCTCAAGAGAGATCCATAGTGATTTTAAACAGTTTGCACAACCAAAGAGCACCAGTGCAAAAACCACTGAGAAAGTACCAGTCATCGGATAACTTTCCTGCACCCCTGACCCTCTTCCTTCCTGGAGGGCCAGGACTCTTGCCCGGCCAGCTGTGGGGAGAGGCACAGAAGCACGGTGGTGAGGAGGAGCAGGCAACGGTGCCCCTCCGCGCTGGTGCAGCGGGCCCACCTGACGCAGGCCCATGGCGCAGAGCGGACGTGCACTTGGTTACTGCAGGGAGTCAGACGCGCAGTCCTGAGCCACAGGTCATTTTCTAACTTTAGGCGACTAGAGGACTGCTTACTTCAGAGTGACCAGAAAAGCCCTAGGATCTGCTCTGTTTCCTTGAGGTCCTAGAGTCTAGAAGAGGACGAACTGCTTTATAGAATCAGATTAAAGGGATAGTGACACAAAAAGGCTTTATGATATTTGTGACCCACAAATCCTGCTTTTTCTGTGTATTCGTCCACAGAATTCATGTTTTGGTGCAGAGGCACCAATCCTACCCGAGACTTGAGGGAAGTTACTGAACTGTTTGCAAGTTAAGTCAGACAGTTCTCCTTATGGCAATGAAAGCAAGCGATGGCTTTTTCCAACGACACATTTGGGGTCAGTAGATAAAAAAATAACTACCATCTACAAAGATTAACTTAATTTTTACATGAACATTGTGGACAGTACCAGTTTGAGGCAAAAAAAAATCTGATATGGTTTCAAAATAGAAAGTTTTACAAGTGAATATATGTATGAATGTAATTTCCCTCCCACTATAAGTAGGGGAGGAATAAAACCACCAAGACCAAGCACCATGGAGCAAGGTCACGTCTCCTACTCTTTTGAAGTAGACCTTCAATTATAGGAGACTGTTCATACTTTAAAAGTCTCTATTTTTTCCTTTTCACTTTATTGATCTGATAAGTAGTAGGAAGTAAACTGCTCTCAATATCCTCAGCTTAGTATATGTTTGTAATTTCTTTATCCTCACAATGTATTTTCAATGCCACCTTTTCCTAGTCCTTTTTTTTTTTTACATTCCCATTCACTTTTAAAAATACACTAAAGCTAGGGGCCCCTGGGTGGCTCAGTCGGTTAAGCATCCAACTCTTGGTTTCGGCTCAGGTCAGGGCCTCAAGGTCGTGAGATTGAGCCCTACATCGGGCGCGGAGCCTGCTTGCGATTCTCTCTCCCCCTCTCTTTCATGCACATGTGTGTGTTCTCTTGCTGAAAAAAAGAAAAATATACTAAAACTCTAAAGAATGTTAGAATGTACCTGGTTTAGTCTTCATTCCTGGGTTTTTTTTAAAAAAGTCTTTGTTAAAGACCCATAACTATGAACTGCCTTTAATGGGAAATGCCATTTTTCAATTGCAGGCAGCAAGTTTAATGCAGAACCCTCAAGTTCAGCAGCTGTAAGTATATTTTCCCCTCCCACCTGCTGGCTCCTAATTGGAGTACATCAGCTCCAAAATGATAAGTGATCGATGGTAGATGAATGCCAGTCATTTGGAACTTAGAGCCATGCACATCCGCCTTGACTTCCTACACAGTATGGGTGTATTTTCCTGACTTCTCCTTCGCCAGTACCCTGCTTGCTAAGACTATATGCCAATCCCAGTGTGTATCTCTTGCCTATTCTAGAATGTCAGGAATGATGACAAATGCTATCGGGGGACCTGCTGCTGGAGTTGGGGGACTAACTGACCTGTCTAGCCTCATCCAAGCGTAAGTGTTACTATAGAAAGAGTAAAAAAAAGTTTGTGTTTGACAGCTTGTCTCTAAAGTGAAAGGACCAGGGCTTTCTTTTTAAATTTTTTTCTTTTAGTATCAGTGGCCTCATTAGTTACTCAGTCTAAAGAAGTTCGTAATATGGAATTTTCAGAGTGGAGGGCAGGAATCCAGATCTGTATCCATGCAAAAGATTTTCAGCAGATTTGAATAGTTACTCAAGGAGGGAGATGAAAGTCAAATATCTGCTTGCAGTATGGATTAATTTAGGTATACTCATGTATTTAAAAATCAGGTATTCCATATATTAATGTCCCAACAATTTAGGAAACTATTTTATTTGAGCTTTTTCAGTGCACATCATTATCAGAGGAACCCCTTGCATCTTATTATATGAGCACACTACCTTCACTTCCACCCTAGTTGGTTAGGATACTCTGCTTTTTTAATTGATTTTTTGGTTGGCCTGTAATGTTACCACTGGAAATTTTATATAAAGACAGGAGGACCATGTGCTTTTTGTGATTGCAACCATGTAACCAACCCTACTTACAATATTGCATTTTTAGTGATCTTTCAGTGGCATGATTCTAGTGATGTGTAACACTTGCAGTTGATGGTTACACACTCAGGCATTTGTATTGTTTTTTTGCCTTCGTAGAAATCAGTTATGTTAGGTGACATAGAGGTGACCAGAAGGATTGTGACACCTAGCATACCTGATGACAAGAGCAATTCCTTGCGTTGTATTTGAGCACCGACAACGAAAGCATGTACTCTTCAGCCCTTTGCTTATTTGTGGTTAAACACTAAACCGGGTAGATTTCACCCTGATTTCAGGAAGTCCCTTTTTAGCGTGGGTGTTTTGTTTCTTATGAAGAACACTGCACTGTTTTAGTGCTATATGGAGGAATTGGTAACTGGAAGATAGTAACATCAGGAGTCTAAAACTTGTTTTTATAGAAAAAGTTCCCTTTGAGTAATACCCACATCCTCTGCAGTTCTCTGGGCATTGGTGTTATGTGACTGGAAGTTCCCTAATTCATACCACTTTGCCTCTTTACTACAGGGGACAGCAGTTTGCTCAGCAGATACAGCAACAGAATCCTGAACTTATAGAGCAACTCAGAAATCACATCCGGAGCAGATCATTCAGCAGCAGTACTGAAGAACATTCGTGACTTGATCAGGGACCCTAACCCAGAGCACAAATGATTATGGCTCTTAATTGTTTGCTGTAGATAGTGGCCAAAACAAAGACATGTAAAAGAATCAATCTGTCTAGACGATAGGTTTATCATCCACAGACTTGAACATATAACATGACTCCTTTGTAAATGAATGGTCAGTAGCCCTGTGGAATGCCAGTAGAGTACTGGACAGGGTTCCATTTTCAAATCATCATCATATTTGTATATTAGACCTAATAGCAGAGTATACTTATTGAACAGGAGGGCTGTTTATGGGTGAGTTCTCTAGCTCTAAATTCCCTGAAGCAAACTGTTTTTGAAAGATGGCGATGGCCAAGAAGAAAGGTTTCTCATGCTGGTTTAGGAGAAGTATCCTGGCCGCTGAACAGCATGCATGTCTGGAGAGGAGAAATGTGTTGTTCAGATTTCGTTTTGATAGTGCTATCAGGACTGAATGTAGATCACAGGGGCCGGTACTGTCTTTAATGCTGCTTGTTCTGATGGGGTAACAGGGAGTAATCAGAGCTGGTGGAAAGAAGCATTTGGTGCAAGGGTGGTTTTGAAAAGAAAAATAAGATGCTGTGAATGTACAGAGTGAAGGTAGGATGTTCAGGTTTTCTGCATAGTTCTTAACTAATCTTGCCTGCAGTTTGGTCTTGATAACATTAGCATGGCCAATTACTCTAAGTACATAATAAAATACATTTAGAAATCCTTAATGGTACTGTTTAGGCCCTTTGTATAAACTACTCAATTTAACTAGCACAATTTCCCCAGTGGTGACTTTACCATGGAAACTCTCAAATATACTTACATTTAAATAAGCCACTGTTTTGGCCCTCAAGTTAAGGATTTTCTAAGTGGCATTTAATTATGTGCATATACTGATTTTTTTAAAACTCACTAATTATTTGATGGATTACAAAAAGCTTCTATCACTAACACTGCTTGTTCATGTAAACCTTTGCTGTAATTTGGCTTAGCATGTTGCTTTTATGCTTAATCTTAATTTGATGCAATGTAAACATAACGGGACTTAAAATATTTCACTGAAATCAGAATTCATAGTAGTTAATGAAGAAATGTGGCATTAAGTATTAATGGCATGTCTTTACAGTGATAAAAGACCATTCTAACTGGAATTTCTTTTGTTAATTATGAAATTGGTAAAGTAGGGTGAACACAATAATTTCACAAGTGTTGTGACAGACAGCTGAAAAAGAAATTAATATAAAAAGAAGTCAGTAATACTCATGATGATGAGGGGCCTTACTGTAACTATTCTCTTCAAAAAACTTGGTATCTCTATAAGGTTAAAAACCAACTTTTCCTTTGTTTCCCCCCTTGTGAGATTAGAACAGTGGTTCTGTAATTTCACTGTAAGAATTCATTGAAAATGCAGTTTCACAGCCACACTTTCAATTTTTATTTAGTAGTAAGGCCTAGGAATCACCATGTTAAATAGCATACCAGGTGGTTCTGACTTAGGTCTTAGGACTCTAATTTAGAGCAAAGGTAAGTTAGAGATTTCTCCTCAGACCAGCAAATTCCTAACTGCCTGAGCACAAGACCCATAAGAATCTACAGTTCTGGCCAGAGAAGAGCAGGACTTAAATTTTAGGCCTTCTGAATTAAATTTCCTGTATTCCATCTAAACCAACTTAATTTTTCATGAGGTTAAACTCAGCTCCTAGTGTTCAAGTGTTATACAGAACGAAATACTATTCGCATGAAAGTTAGTACTGTCCTAGAAAAAAAAAAACGTGAAAGGTGATCCACAATTAAAAATTAGCTACTCTTGGGGTGCCTGGCTGGCTTAGTAGGTAGAGCATGTAACCGGATCTCAGGGTCAGGGGTTTAGGCTCCACATTGGGCATAGAGTTTGCTTAATTTAAAAAAAAAAAAAAAAAGGCTACTCTTTTCCAGTGATAAGACAAAGTTTCTAGCAAAACTATCTTATATATTAAATTGCTTTTAGATCAATAAAATTGGTAAATCTGTAGGTGACTGACTGGAAAGAGAGAAAATACAAATCAACAGTACCACAAGAGAAAGAGAGGACAGCACCATAGCCTTCGAGACTTTAACAGGATAATCAGAAAATACAATGACCAACTCTAGGTCCATATATTGAATAACTTACATGAAACAGATGAATTCCCTCTAAGATAAAAACTACCAAAGTGCAGTGAAGAAATAGACATCCTGCAGGAGAGCAAGCTTCAGGCCCAGAGGACTTCAGTGGTAAATTCTACCAAACACAGGAGAAATACTATCAATTCGACACTATTTCTTTCAGAAAACAGAAGAGGAGGAAACACTTTCCAAAGCATTTAGCTATTATTACTCTGATACCAAAATCAGACAAAGGCATTATAAGAAAAAACACTTTTTAAAACAATGTCTTGATTTGCCAATATCTCTAGTTGGGGTACGCCATCCTTTTTATGCGAAGAGCTGGTATAGTCCTTCCATTACAAATTTCTCGTTTGTTTCTTGGTTGATACACCACCTATAACAAGTTCATTCTAGGCATTTGTCATTCTATTCAAGCCATTTTTGCTCTTCAAATACCTTTATCATTTTGGAATCACAACTGCAAATCATTTCAAGAAAAGTGTATGCATTTGGATTGTGCTAGCTACTCTTAAAATTATAAGGACTGTCCCAAATACTTTGCTGGCTTGTTTGGAACAAGAGGACATTAAGGCAATGTACTAGAATGTAATTCTAGAATTTGGTATACATTCTGTTTAGGAATGACTGGCTTCTGTTAACCACATTTCATTGTAGTAGCTATAGCTGTTATGATGCTATGTGAAACTTAAAAGGTTCCTTTTATGAGGAAGACGTTTTCATTTAATGTACCAAATTGTTTATCTAATTTTTATAATATGGTTTAAACAGATCCTTTCTAAGATGACATTATCTAACCTTTACTTAAAGAATGGAGGATGTGTATCAAAAAGAGACTTTGTAATTAAATCAAATTACATAGCAGCTATCAAGTGACCATTATATGTTACTTTTAAAATCTGGAACAATGAAACAGAAGGTTCAGTCACAAGAAGATGCTTGAAAACCAATGGAAATACACAAAGCAGTGGCAATAAAGTCTTATTAATCAATCTTACTCTGAAAGAAAGACAGACTTCAACTTTAGACTGCACTTTATTTTGCACAGATATTTCATTATTAGTGCAATTTAAGGGGCAAATCTCATTCTGAATATAGCTTTCACTTTGGACCAAATAATTTGTCATGGCAATAAATAATTATGCATTTAAGAAAAACCAATTTTTGTATTTGAATTAATGCATCTAACATTTAAGCAATTATATTTACATCCTTGAATTCCGACTTACCAAAATAGGTTTTTATTTAACAGCATAAGCTTTTTGTTTCCTTACAAAATATTGAAGTTTAGGATATTCATGTTGCAAATTTGTTTACAATTTTAACTTTCTTACTATTTTGTTCCTGGAATAAGTAAATCACTGTGATTACATATAGAGACAGTTTTGTAGTATTTATACATGATTTAGAGTTCAAAATCAAATATCAGAAGTTGGAAATCCTTTAAATATGCCTTAGGAAAATAAGTGGCTTATTTTTCAATGTGAAAAAACACAGGGCTTTTTAGCTTAGAAAATTAACAGGAGGGTATCCCTGGGTGGCTCAGTGGTTTGGCGCCTGCCTTTGGCCCAGGGCCTGATCCTGGAGTCCCAGGATCGAGTCCCATGTCGGGCTCCTTGCATGGGGCCTGCTTCTCCCTCTGCCTGTGTCTCTGCCACCCCTCTTCCCCTCTGTGTCTCTCATGAATAAATGAATAAAATCTTAAAAAAAAATTAACAGGATTCTTAGTTAAAAGTTAACAGAGTAATCAACAATCCAAGCAATTAAACCAATTCTGATCTGCTGTTAGTAACTGATATTTAGATGTGTGTGTTTATATGTCACCACAAACACAGGTACACATAAATATAATAACCTTGAAAACAACTAGGAGAACTCATAATGTGTTGGCAATATTAAGGTTACATAAGCACTACTCTAGTTGTCTTAAACTTTTTCTGCTGAGGAGTTAGGAAAACAAGGGTGAATTGGAAAATTCTCAAATAAAGTATTATAAAAATCTAAAGTTTTAAGAAACAATTTTATCTTTCAGATCAAGGTCAGCAAACTAAAGCCTGCAGGCCAAATCTGGCCAGCTGCCTGCTTCTGTAAACACTGCTGTGCTCTTTTTGCCTACGGGTTGCTGTCCCACTACAATAGCAGAGTTTAGTCTTTTCTTTTTTTTTAAGATTTTATTTATTTATTCATGAGAATACACCGAGAGGAGAGAGAGAGAGAGAGGCAGAGACACAGGCAGAGGGAGAAGCAGGCTCCATGCAGGGAGCCCGAAGTGGGACTCCATCCCAGGTCTCCAGGATCACGCCCTGGGCTGAAGGCGGCGCTAAACTGCTGAGCCACCCGGGCTGCCCCAGAGTTTAGTATTTTCAAATCACGTTCCCTGCTAAGACAAATATTTAGTATCTGGTCCTTTACATAAAATGTTTGCTAACCCCCCATTCTAGATACTTGCTAGGGACAGTGCCTCAAATATAGAGCTTTTGAGAAACAAATCCAATGGTTATCTAAAGATGTTAACAGGCTGAGTGTAGGAAATATACAAATGTCCGTTTAGAATATAATTCACAAGATAAAATCTGTAGATGGTTCTTTTCAAAACAAATATTTAATATTTTAACTTTTGCAGGAAAGAAATTTAAATAATAGGTACTTATTTTTGTTGTAGATGTGATCATTTCACAAAGGTGACAAATACACAGGAAGTCCTGTGAAACTCCATGAAAAGTAGAACACTGGAAGTTTTCTTCAACTCTCCACCTTAATGGCCGAAGATACCACACAGACCTGTGCGATGTCATCATATTCGTACGTTCTCTTTAAGAATGTGTCTGTTAGTCTTAAGCCGGAGACACTCTATTGAGGGAAAGAGAAAGGCATAAATATCTGGGAAAGTACCAAGGGAAATGTGGAAACAGTAAACGACCATGGGTTACCTGTGCCCAAATACTGAAATTACTGAAAAGAGCACACCTGCAGTCCCTGCACCGAAGACAGCAGGGTGAGAGCCAGGCAGAGGGAGGAACTTGGATGTAGCTTTCCGAGCTGTCTTCCTGAGATGCCACACCAGTGGATAGAATTGGTATTGCACATTTCCAAAACCAGATCCATAGTCCTTTCACTGCTGGAGGAATCAAAAAGACGGGAATAAATCTTGTTCCTTTCACAAAGCAGTACTGTGCTATTTCTTCCACTAGTGCCAATGAATTGGTTTTCAGGGTAACCAGGAGAATAAAAAGCAGAATCAGAAATAAAAAGCTATAATGTCATTTTTATTTCACTTAAGATAGAAACAGGAAAATAAAAGGAGATGGCATCTTCTACGGTTTAAAGTGGTGCTGAGATTGATCTGCCTGTCTGGATATAAGCCTTCTGGTTCTATTATTGAATCCTGGCTCCCTGGTGCTGATCTGTTAACAGCTTTGCCATTTCTCTGGGAGACTTCCAGACATCTGTGTCTAATCTTGTTGCTATGTTTCCTTTCTATTTCTGGCAGGTACTCTTCCGGAAAGAAAAAGATAAACTGAGTCTTTTTGTTATTTAACCTAGGTTCCTTTACCATGCAGATAACACAGAAAATGACAGTATTTCTAAGTAAATATTATCCAGGTTTGTTCACACAGGAAAAGACTGCTTCTGCTTATAAGTGATATCACTAGTTTAGCTTCAACATGTTAAAAAAAAAAAAACTTTCAATGACAGTATACACATTGTTCTTTTTTTTTTTTTTAAATAGCTGGAGGCTCAAAGTAAAAAACAGTCCTCTGCTCTACCACCATTTTTGGCTACTTTCAACTGTTTCAGTTTTTTCCTCCTCTTCCTTGGCTCCTTATTTTAAATACTTATTTAAATTTCAATTCGATTCTTAAGACATACTGATTTAATGATCTTTAGCTTTTATATGTCTCTATTTCTGCAACAAACATTTGAAATGTCCACTGTGTGCCACAGACCAGGTTAAATGTACTACATGAATTTTCTCATGACGTTTCACAAAAATCCAGTAACTGTATTTTGTGCATGTGTGTGTGTGTGTGTGTGTGTGTGTGTGTGTGTGATAGTGGTGGTGGTGACAGGGATCCCATTTTTATACATGAGAAAACTGAAGGTCTAAGAAATAGGTGCTTTTTAGAAAATTCACTTCAATCTTCTGAAGTTAAAGCAGACACCATAAGAAAATGTATTTCTTCATTTTTTACAGCAGTTTGTCATTTGGTCATTAATTGATTTGCTACACCTCAAAACATTTAAATAAAAAATCCAAAGCACACCTATACACAAAGGGTCTTTACCCTACGCATGTTGCTATTTAATGAACTTCCACGATGGGGCAAATTCATCTACAACACGAGGTAAGATATGGTCCCTTTTGTTGAATAGTGCAGAATGTAGTAAGGGAGAGACTAAAAATTATAGCAATATATATATATATTCATATATATATGAATGTCACCAAGAAAAACTATATAAAAATTCGCTATAACAAAAAAGGAATGATTAACTGTGCATTATAGGTCACTAGCTTCAGAGGGAGGAAGGTATTTTTTTAATTTTCAAGGATGAGTATTTCCTATATCATAAAGTTGGAGTAGATACGGAATTTTAAAAGAGTATACATTCAGACCATGTTGGATGGGAATTATTACTGCAATATTATCAAAATGCCCCAACTAATAATACATTCCAAGTAGTAATACAAGTTGTACCAGAAGCAACAGGACTGGAATTTAATCCTGTTTTTCTGGCGTCAAAGCCCTATGCTCTTTGCATCCCAATCGCTAGATTATATCAAGGCCCTATTTTCCAATCTATGATTGATTCCTTGTCTTAAATTCATAACCAATTTTTACTTTCTTAATAATAAAGCTGTAATCCAGGTTTAAGTATAGTTCAGAAAAATCTCTTATTACCTTCAATCTATAATATATTACTTCGTAAGAATGTACTAGTTCATGCATTAGTAATCTGAAGTGTGAGGAAGTGTGAACAATGAAGAAGAGCATGGGCTCTGAAGTCAAATACACCTGGTTTCAAATTCTGGCCCTATCTTTTCTAGCTCTCTCTGCTTGACTAAGTCACTTAACGTCTGAGTTGGCTTTCCCTTGCATAAAATGTGAATAGTACCTACCTCATAGGGTGCAATTCATGAATTAAGCAAAATATAGACAATGCCTAATAAAGTAGGACCTCAAAAATAAGTAATGTATACAGCTACCAAAAGAACTTTACAGTATGCAACACCAACATCAGAAAAGCCTTACGTCAAGAGGAAATTTAAGACGGCATACTCAAAGACTTTAATTTCTTTGACGTAGGCGAGGAGCAAAGGATACCCATCCACAAACACTGCCATTACCTGCAGTTTGTTATTTTACAGGTAATATGAAAAGGTTCTTCTAGGTTTACGGTATCTGGGATTGCCTCCAAAGACAACCTAACATCTCCATAACCTGGAGCCTAAGAGAAAAAGCAACACAGTTAACATACATCTATTACAAAACCTTTCCACTTTAATAAAGGTACCACACTAGCCCATGTACTCAACAGTTGTTGCATCTCCAAGCTCATGTTTGGAGAAAATACTTCTCAGTCATTCTTCCTGTTCTCTGTTCTAACTTCTTTTGCTAATATCGTCTGTGGACCAGTACTGTGGACCCTGTGTTTGCTATGATTATTCCATGTTCAGTAGAGATCAAATGAATCTCAGAGGTAAATAGTAAAGACATTTCGGTACGTCTGATCTTAAAGGGGTGTTTTCCAAAAATCCTATAGCTTATACATACATAACTCTAAGGTTATTGCCAAAGCAGGAAGAGTAAGATTGCTGTGAAAAGATCCAAGAAAACAAACAAACATGTCCATTAATGAGACACTCAGGCAAGGAGAGACCAGAGAAACATCAAAGCTTGGAACCTCTATGGCAAGATGAGAGCTAACAACTATATTTTAAAATAGGCTCAGTGGGGCGCCTGGGTGTTTCAATCGATTAAGTGTCTGCCTTTGGCTCAGGTCATGATCTTAGGGTCCTGGGATTGAGCCCCGCCTCAGGCTCTCTGCTCAGTGGGGACGCTGCTTCTCCCTCTAATTTTCCCTCTATGCTCTTTCCCTTTCTCAAATAAATAAAAATCTTAAAAATAAATAAAATAGGCCAGTGATAATTTTTTCCCATAGCGAAATTTAAAAAAAATATATATATATATCACAATAGTTAATATTCAGCACAAAGGGCATACTCCCACCAGTAAGAGAAAGAGTACTAGAAGCCATCCCTACTTTAAGAGCAGAAATTAGGTAAATTATTCAAGTAATGCTTACAAGGTAACTTTAATGGGTCTCACTTTCTGATTAGACAACTCAGGTTTTCAAAATCTTTAAAAAAGTATGAACTAGGGGCACCTGGGTGGCTCTGTGGTTAGTGTCTGCCTTTGGCTAAGGTCGTGATCCCGAGGTCCCAGGGTCCTACATCACGCCTGCTTCTCCCTCTGCCTATGTCACTGCCTCTCTCTCTCTCCGTGTGTGTCTCATGAATAAATAAATAAAATCTTAAAAAAAAAAAAAAGAAAAAGTATGAGCTAAGTTGGTGAATTTAAGTCTAAGAGTTTCAGGGCATTGCAAAAAAATCCTTTAATGTAATAGAAGTCAGATGAACATAGAGTATGAAATATCATAGAAGGGAAAAGTTGGTTAGCACTAGAGTTTAATTTCTATTTGGTAAGAGTAACAAACCATGTATTATGGATCAAACATTTGAACATTTTTCATTTATCATAATGAGTTTCTACCAAGAGATCAGTAAAATTATTAGTCTTTTATCTCTTACTCACTGGTAATATTAGCGCTTCTTATACTGCTGATTTTTAGTGATGCACCTAGGAAAATTTAAGCTGTCCTAAGCATCTGCCCCTCGCACACCAAAACCCCCTCAAATGTTTTCTCTAGACTCACCATTCGCTGAAGTTGGCTGGTCTGTAATCTTCCCCTTTCACCTAGATTTGTTTTCCACACTATATCCAATTTTCCAATTACTGTTACTCCTTTAATGATGCCTGCTTTTTCTGCAAACTCTTTCTTGGGTTTTAGGCAGTACAAATACTGGCGTGTATCCATTGGTTGCAAATATGCTCTTGACCCAAATGTAGTTACACTAAGAGGGGTGGAGAGAAGAGACAGAGAAAATTCTCTAGAGTCTTTTAAAAGAAAAACCATGGCTGTGACTGTTCCTTTGGACAGGAACTGAGACTTACCATCCAAATATCTTAAATAGAACAGTTCAGTGGTTTCAACACAAATGAAAAAGGACAGAACTGAGAGGATTTATTTTCTTTGAATTTTTTAGATGATATGGAAAATCTTTGGGTTCTTTATAATAGAATGCAATATATTACCTAAAATACTGGATATGTATCAGTTAACTGAAAAAATGCAATAGCAATCAAACCCAAAGTATCCTGTCCCGGTTCTCTGTAATTACTAAAGAAAGTCATCTAGAAGAAAAAACATACCATTATAAATGACGTGATCATTTTAAAAATAAACTAAAAGATCAGAGAAAGAATTGAAAGTTACTGTTTTCCTTAGTGGGGATATAGAAGGCTACAAACTTTACTGAATTGAACCATCATAATAAAAGGTAAATGTTTCGTTCTTGATGAATAAAATCAGGTATTTTCCAGATATTGCCTTCTTATCCTTATTAACATCAACTTTATATTTATTCTTCCTTTTTAAAATAACCTACAAAAAGACATACGTATTTCATTTCTGCAAAACAAAACAAAACAAAAAACCAACACTAGATCTATTCCTATGCTCACTCCTTTTAATGTTGACAGATTATTCTTAAACCTCACCCTTCATCTTTATCCTTTCTAACCTCTCCATCATTCCTTCCTATGCCTCAGTTTTACCATTTGCAGGAAAGGTTGAACAGTTTCAGATTTATGTCTCTGAATTATTCTAGAAATTAAAAGACTAAGTGCTTCAAAAAGTAAAATATAAAATGCAAATGGTTAGGATCTTTATTATATTTTTATGTGGAGGGAAGAATGGGTGAAGCACAGGAGATTTTGGGGCACTGGGACTATTTGGTATAAGACAGTAAAAAGGTGGTTACATGTCACTGCATTTGTCAAAATCCACAAAAGGTAGGACAGAAAGAGTAAACCCCGAATGTAAACTATGAACTGTAATGAATAAAAGTATCAATACTGGTTAATCAACTCTAACAAATGTGCCACATTAAAACAAGATGTAAGTAATGGGGGAACTATGAGTAGGGGGGAGACGTGAGGAACTCTGTGCTTTCTGATCAATTTTTCTATGCACATAAAACTTCCCTGGGAAAAATAAAGTCTCTTAATTAAAATACAAATTACAAACCATCCAAGAGTAACAAATGTTAGAAGAGTTCACATACTTGAAAACAAACACTTCATAATTCATATTTACCATTCTCCAGCTTGGCTGACTGAGTTTAATTCTGCTACATTGTACATTATAGATGGTTCCAATGAAACTTTCTCCATAAACATGGGCGAGGTTGTAATATTCTGAATCTGGGCTTCGAGAAATACTTCATCAGTCTGAGGATATGAAAAAAATATCCACCAAAGTGTAATGGTATTTAAAATATTTACCTCAACAAAAATATCTCATCTATACGAAGAAAAAATATTAACCACAAATGTGATTAGTTCATGCCTGCAAATCAAAGTTATCATAATTAATGCAAGAAAAGAAATCTTCATCCTAACGTAATTAACAGGGGCAAAGTCAAGTGTTAGTTAACTGATAATTTGTCAAACAATGGATGGGGGATAACTATAATATTTTTTGTATCAACATCCAAAACTAGTTATTTAACTGGAATTTCATTCACAGATATCCTAAATCTTTGAGTAGGTTTCTAAATGTTAACATGTCATTTAGTAGTATAAATATACCTATGTACCTATCATTTCAGTGGTATGTTAATATAATTAGATCTTCATTATAATATTCCATCATAATATGGTTTCCAATGGTCATATTATTTCAATTTAGAAAGTATAGAAGCCACCAGTACAGTGATAATCAATATATTTTATAATCTTATAGGATTTAACTTTTTATTTAAAGCAATTTGTTAGTGGACATTTGCAATTTCTTGGTTCATCTTAAATATATATTTAGGGTTAAAAAAAGTATGTAAATTATACTTGATAATCATGGAGCTTCCAAATCAAACATAAGGTATTCTGTAGCCTTAGAGAAAGATTTGAAAACTAATGCTGTTTGGCAATATTGTAATGAAGGGGTAATTTAAATATGTAGTTTTATAAAATTTTTATTTTCTAAATTTAGGGATTAAAATTTAGATTATTTATACTAAACATCCTTCTTTTTATGTGATTTGTCTCTTTTTGTGTGTTTCTATAACTGAAGAATAGGAGACCTTGGTTCATTTTTGAAATAGACTTATCTAAAAAATAACACATTAAGGATATTCAATTCAGTAAATAAAAAGTTTCAGAGTCATATACAGAAATAAAAAATATAAACTATGATCCCCAAAATTTGGCAGTTAATATCAAATCTAGGAAAATGGAAATCATTTGCAAAATTATAATAATGAAGTTTAGTGTAATATATTATTATCTAAAACAGATTGTTTAGGTCTTGGCACGTGCTCAAATGAAAATAGAAATACAGTGATTTATCAGTTTAAAATAATTGCCACTTAAAGGCATTGTTCTGTTACATTTTCTTAAAAAAAAAGAAAGGTAAATATATCCCATCAATCCATTGCTTTAAAAAAAAAATAACCACAGGCCCACATTTCAAATTTAAAAATGCAATTTTCTGCTTACGTTTAGGAAAAGCTTAGATAAAATGAAAGAAAAACAAGCAGCATAATGGAAAATTAAGTTAGTTTGAACAGTTAGTACAAAGTAATTTGACACTTGAAAAATTAAGAATTCTGTGCTACAACATTAAGATGTTGTTATTATGCAAGTCATGTTATTATAAGCAAATGCTGCTTATATTAAATAGAAACTTGAAAATATGACTTTAGCCAACTTGGGAACATTTGAGGTTCTTCTGTTTACTAATGTTTACTTTACCCAAACATAAAACTAAAACCACTGTGCATTTTAAGATAAATTTCAACTAGAGAGTTTGCCTCAAAGAATTAAAGGATGGTAAAGAATCTTATGTTAAGATATTGAAAATCCCAAGGCTATTTTAAATAAGGTTAACATGCCTCTTTTAAAAAACACCCAAAGGAAAAACACTAAAAATGAGTGCATAATTGTTTCAATATGACGATTTAATCTTCAATCTAATTTTTTTCCCAGAGAATAAAACAATCAATATAATATAAAAAGTACAAATTAGAAACATCTTTTAAAGTCACACAAGTGGTATTCACAACTAACTTTGTTTTTCCACTATGTTTTCTAAAGAGAGATTAATTAGGCAGAGTCAAAAAGTGGTAAGTAAGAAAAGCATATAAATTTATAATAAAAAATCAAATTACCACAGAACTGAGGTCACTCTAATGGAAAAATAAAAAAGAAAAATTAGAAAAATCAGAATTAAATGTTAAAGAAAAAGAATAACTAACTTTAAAATAAAATGCATTTCTGCATTTTTTTTAATTTATTAAACAAGACAGCATTAGTAAAACAAGGAAGTAAACAGAAAGTACAAAGGAATATGACAAATCATTCTTCTAAAAAGGTGAAACTGCTATGGTTAAATGAATAGAGAAGAACACTACAGGTGAATATTTAAACAGGAGCAAATATTCAAGGACACATTTGGGCAAGAAAGGTATACCCCATGCGCCTTTCAAGTTCTATAATTCTTTACCTACACTGTAATTCTTCATGGATACTTAGGATGGTTATACACTACCCTCCACAATCAGAGTAAATACACACTGTACAGCTTCTCCTTAATTTATCTAATAATGGAAGCATTTTTTCAAGGAGCATCTTCTGTGTTTAGAGTTCCATGCATTACACTTGAGGAAATGCTGGGCTAGACCACATCAGACAACTGAGAGTTTATTCTTTTAATATATTTTATAGTTCATCTTTTTTTCATATATATTTCTAAGGCTACTTATTTATCAAGGCTCATCTAAAATGTTGCTTCTTTTGTCCAACCCACTGCTAAAAATACTTTTTCACACCTCTTTCTTCCCAGAGTCTAAATACACTTTATGATCTAGGGGGTGGTGCTTATACTGCAATTTTGTAATGTTTGTCTCCTCCACTAGATTTAAGTACCCTGACGATTGGGAGGATGTCCAGTTTTCTTTATTTATCTCTCTCTTTTTTTTTAAAAGATCTTGTTTATTTATTCATGGGAGACACACAGAGAGAGGCAGAGGGAGAAGCAGGCTCCTTGGAGGGAGCCCAATGTGGGACTCAATCTCGGGACCCCGAGATCACAACCTGAGCCAAAGGCAGATGCTCAACCACTGAGCCACCCAGGTGCCCCTCTTTAGTACCTGGCATGGAGCTCTATCCCTATCAGATGACCCAATGTTTGAATCCTAGTTGCTAATGTCACCAATCTTCCTATTTTAGAAGACTTCAACAAAGTTTCTCATAAAGAGAAAAATTTCTCATTTGAGACAAATGTGGGGCTGATAAAAGTCAATGAGTAAGAACTATGGCATAGAATAATAAACATCACCTACTGATATCAGTTTGTTTACAAACTCCTACAAGTTACCTTAATTTTCTAGTTGGGGTCAAGAGAATCTGCTTTGTGCTAGGCCGAATAGTATTTGCCTAATAAGGTAATCAATATCTTAGAGACCTAAAACTATTTGTTCACTCTTGGTTGTTAAAGAAATCTCTATTTTCAAAGGTTCAGAATTTCACTAAAATTTTTTTAGCTGACATTTGTTGGCAACGATTTCAGATTATGTTTACATATAATGCTAACTGAAAAAGGCAGCAAACTGTGTTACTATGATTATAAAAACAATACTGAACATAAGTGAGTAAAAACTGAAAGAGAATATGAATTAATAAAAAGCCCATTACTATTTGGTGTGGTGGAATTGTGGGGATTTTCCCCTTCCTTTTTGGGGAGTATATCACTTTTACAATACTATTTATGGAATAACTAGTAATTTTAAAAAACTGTAGGAATCATTCTAAATATTAGTATTATAGAACTATTTGACAAGTATCTTAACAGACCACTACAGTTGCAGCAGAGAAAGACCTAAAATAGTTTAATATGTGTCTTCTTAAGAGCCAATTATAAGAAAAGAGACCCACATACAGCCCTATTTGTTTCTAATTTTCAAATATATGTATTCTAACACTAGTTATCTGTCTTCCCTCATGCTATGGATGAAATCTTTCCTAGCAAAATGATACATTAAGACCACTTAGGGCACAGCGGGTGGCTCAGTGGTTTAGTGCCGCCTTCAGCCTGGGGTGTGATCCTGGAGACCCAGGATTGAGTCCCATGTCGGGCTCTCTGCATGGAGCCTGCCTCTCCCTCCTCCTGTGTCTCTGCCTCTGTCTCTATGTCTATCATAAATAAATAAATCTTTAAAAAAAAAAAGACCACTTAAAATTCAATAAGCTAAATAATTATAATTAAAAGTATTCTAGTAAAACAAAAAAAGCAGAACACATATGTAGTGTGGCAACTCTCCTATCCCCTGGAAAGAAATGTTAACTCTTTAAACATCTAAGGAATCTCCTTGATGAGACTATCCCCCCATGAAATATGTATATTCTTCACTTATAGACTCAATATTCCTGTGCACTTATAATTCTGCTTGGAATGCCTTCACTGCTTTGACACTTTTATGTTTCTGACATCTATTATTTCCAGACTCTGCTCCAGTTCCCCTTCTCATCTTCTCTGAAGACTACTGTAATATCTCAACTCCAGACTTCCTATAGCACATCTTTTTATATCATTCACTTTAGATTCACTATATATATATATATATACTTTACTAGGTAGTTTTATTATTTTATGTACTTGTTTCTTTTCATCTAATTGGGCTCTACCACAGGTCAGATTCCTTATCCTAGACATCTCTTGGTAAGCCCTGCTGTAGTACAAACTTCATATTGAATAAAAACTCAGATGCTGATGGTAAAAATACATACCAAATTTGACATGTGACTACAAATTTCTGATCATTTGGTTAAGGGTAATAAAGACATAATTTTCATTTCAAAATACTGCAATTTAATACTTTGGAACTAACATTTTAATAAAATGTTAAATTTTAAATTTAACAATTTAACTGTATGAAAGACAAATTTTTTGAAGGGTTAAGGGGCCCATTTGGAAATCTATTTTTTCTGGAACTCAGGAAGCCAAAATAAAGTAGAATTTTAATTTATTTTTATTTTTTTAATATAGAATTTTTAAAAAGAAATTCAAACAATAAAGCCTTTATCCTACGGCAAAGTCTATTTTATCTCTTTTGTTCAGATAGAAGACAGATTATCTTCTATTCTGAAAGTTACCATATTTCTGTAATTTTGCCAAACTTGTTTCTCCCCAAAAGTATTTTAAGCCATTCACCAAACTTAATTACCAAACTGCAGCTGACACACTGATTTCCCAGCACAAAGAATTTAATTTGCTGAGCTGTATCTGTCAATATTTTCCAAGAATATTAAATCATTTTTGCAGGGTTAGAATGACTACTTCAATTTTTATGGTGTCAGAATCACACTGTAGATATTTAATAGATTGCTAATGTTTTTAGACAGTAACAATAAACATTAAAGGATGTTTTGGGCAATCATTTAATGAAAGGAGGTGAAAGCCTCATGAAATTAACAAGAATAAAATTTAAGATATATTGATTCTATGTAATTTAAAAACAGCAGATTAAAAGATCTATAATGAAATGATTCTCTTTTGATTGGACATTAGGTTCATTTTTTACAAGTAATTCATAATCCTATGAGCAATTTACTTTAACATGAAATGAAATGCAGTACATTAGAATATTAGTCAAGTAAGATCTTACTGTTTAATCTCAATTCCCATTAAGTGCCCAACACTTACCTCTGCATTATAAAATTTGGTTTTCACATCCAATGGTTTGAGAACCTAGTTGAATAAAGCATAACAATCAGAAGAGATTCTCATTTGATCATTTATTTTTATTTGTTTTAAATCATAGGGCTTAAATCTGTCAAAGGCATTTTCCAACTGTAATTGTAAAAAACTTTTTTAATAGGTATGCAATAGTTTTTGGAAAACAAAAAACAAAAAAAACCCCAAACAATTCCAAATACATTTTTAAAAGACAACCATCATTTCTTGATTGGACGACAGTTACATGAGTTACATGTGTATTTACTTCATAATATTTTGCTAAATTGAATACATGTATTTTATGTATTTTTCTCCATATGTTTCACAAAAATGTTCATTAAAATAAGCAGATAAAATTTTTATTTTCTTTTAAAAGGCACGCAAAATCTTAAATAAGTGATAGAGCAAAGCAACAGCAGAAGTTTTCCCTTTCTTAGAAAATTTTATTTTTCCAAGTAATCTCTATGGCCACCATGGGGCTTGAACTCAAGACTCCAAGATCAAGACTCACATGCTCCACCTAATGAGCCAGCCAAGTGACCCATAATAATTCTGGGTACATTTATTTACATTGGTTTATTATTCTTACTGATAGTACTTTTTCTTCCACTTAAAAACAGAGAGGTATGAAAAAGATATATATAGCATACTATCTCGATATAATGTAGAGAGTTATATACAGTCATCTCATCCCTTCTTGCACCCACTTACTGGGTTAAACCAGTGTTTTTTAACTGTTTTTAATCATGGAGTTAAAATTGCGTATAAACACAAAACTCTACCTACAATTTTGGTTCCTCATGGAATCCCGGAAGGAAGCTTGGTCCACTAGTCCCAAGGCAATAATCTCTCATTTAAATATTTCTTTAGAAATTTGATACGATTTATTTTAATTTATCTGGACTTCACACTCATTTTAACTCTCTTTTATATTCTTCTGTGCTTTGACATGGCATAAAAACAGCACAATTTTTTATGGATAAGAATCTTTAAGTGAGGGGTGTCTGGCTGACTCAGAAGAGTGTACAACTTTTGATCTTGAGGTCATGAGTTTGAGGCCCTCACTGGGTATAGACATTACTAACAAAAAATAATAATCTTCAAGTTAAATATTACACTGACAATGATAATGCTTTATTTAGTCTGACTTTAGATTTCTCGTAATATAATATGACAAATCCAGACATATGAAGCTATTTGCTTTATTTGGAGCCTGTTTTCACTGCAGACAAATAGGAATAACTTCATAGAGGGGGAAAAAAGTCATCTAAAAATCATTTACATTGTCATATTCAATACCTGAAATTTGAAGAATTTTCTAAAATACATTTTTTCTCCACCCTGAGTTGTATAGCTCACTGCACACACCAAGCTGAAATAGAAAGATATCTCTGAATCATCTTCAATTTTATTTTTAAAGAATAAATCTAATACACTTCAATTCTACTCACAAATTTGGAAAATATGACTACCAAAGATGTGAAAGTATAGCCAAATGAGTCCACAGTAGGAAAAAAAGAGGTTCAGTGGAGAAGAATTCCATGAACAAGAAAGCTCTGATTAGCCATATATCATGGTGACATATATTCCAAAACAAATCCCAGAATAACCAAATAGCTGAATGTACAAAGTAAGTTCATATAAACTAGAAGAAAAATACACGAATTAACAAAAATTATTAGATGAAAAAAGACTTTTTAATATAAATAGGCAATAGAAAGGAAAAGTCTTAGAAATTTATAAATTGGAATAAATGAAAAACACGTTAAAACAAAAAGCAAAATACAAAATGGGACAAAATACTTCTAACAATATGAAGAGAAATCTCATAAGCAAAACATTAGTAGCTTTCTCAAGATAGGAGGAAAGGATACATAGATATATTGCAATACTATAAATGGCTAACAAAAATGTGAAAATATTCAGCCTCACAATTAGTCAAAGAAATACAATAATGAGATACAATTTTTCTACCTCTTAAGATTTGAAAAAAAATTCTTTACAGGTGTTACCAGGATTGATGAGGGTTTAGAGAAAGGGACTCTCTGTACACTGTTAGTCGTTACAGGAGATTTAGAAAATAAGCCTTAAGTAAGAGTCTTAAAAATGTTTATATGTTCCTATAGTAATGCTTCAAGCAATCTACCACAGGAAATACTAAGGTGTTCATCACTCTGCTACTTAGAATAGTGGGAGACTAGAAATAATCTAAAATCCAACAGTAGCATAATCAAATTAAAATACATGGCTCAAGGATGTAAGATAAAAATATCTTGGGGCAGCCCCAGTGGCTCAGTGGTTTAGCACTGCCTTCAGCCCAGGTTGTGATCCTACGGATAGAGTCCCGCATTGGGCTCCCTGCATGGAGCCTGCTTCTCCCTCTGCCTGTGTCTCTGCCTCTCTCTCTCTCTGTGTCTCTCATGAATAAATAAATAAAATCTTAAAAAAAAAATTCTCAAAAATAATGTTTTCAGGGATGCCTGGGTGGCTCAGTAGTTAGTTAAGCCTCTGTCTGCCTTTGGCTAGGGCATGATCCCGGAGTCCATGGATTGAGTCCCACATTGGGCTTCCTGCATGAAGCCTGCTTCTCCTTCTGCCTGTGTCTCTGCCTCTCTCTGTGTCTCTCATGAATAAATAAATAAAATCTTTAAAAAATATATTTTTATTTTAATTTTTACATTTGTTAAATTTTACTAAAAATTTATTGTTTATTGAAGTTTATTAAATGTGTAAAATCCTCCATTTATTTTTAAATTATTTATATTTTAAAAAATCCACAGGGAGCCTGATGTAGGACTCGATCCCAGGACCCCAGGATCATGACCTGATCAAAGGCAGATGCTCAGCCACTGAGCCACCCAGGTGCCCCAATTATAAAAATTCGTAAAAAATATAAAATTTAAAAAATTTTTTTATAAAAAAATAAGAAAAAAGAAATAACAATTCTCTGTTAGACTGCTGTGGGGTAAGGGGGACAGAGCTGACTTCATGGAACTCATACACTATTTTTCCTTTTAAGAGAGAGGCAGAGACAGGCAGAGAGATAAGCAGGCTCCATGCAGGGAGCCCAACGCAGGACTCGATGCCTGGTCTCCAGGATCAGGGCCTGGGCCAATGGTGGCGCTAAACTGCTGCGCTACCCGGCTGCCCTGGAACTCATACGTAATGGAAAGGACAGGCACTATGTAATTAATTTTAAGCAGAAGACCAAAAAAATGACAAGTTGTCGATGCTATAGAATACATTAAAAGGGGTATTTAATTTAGTTTAGGAGGTCAGGAAAGCCTCTTTGAGTAGTCATGGTGAAACTGAGACTTGGAGAAGTGGAAGTAAGCTAAACAAAAGAACACAGGCATTCATTCCTTAAGAAGGGAAGAATATATTTCAAGGCATAGAGGAGTGCAAAAGAAAGAGACTTCCAATATGCCTTAGTATAAGAAGGGAGAAGTGAGAAAAAGTTAAGAACTAGAGTGACTGGTTAGGATTAGTTCTAGAGAGCTTCCTAAAGCCAATACAGTCAGAATTTTCTAAGGGAAGTGGTAGGTCACTGAGGAGTTGAGTGACTTATCCAAGACCGTGTAGTAATAAATGATGAAGCTGAAATTTGAACTCTTTAAATTTTGCCTCCGAAGCTTATGCCAACAACAGAATATATGCTAAGAAATGCTTACAGAAGAGATGTCACCAAAATGAACTGATTAATAGCTAATATTATATACTTAAGTCAAGGAAGAGAGGCAAAAATGGTGACATAAGTGGAGATGAAGAAGGGGGGATAATGAAATATAGTTAGCAAGAACTAAAAGGACTTTGTAAATTGACTGTGTGTGTGGATGGTAAGGCAGATGAAGTCTAAAATTACTTTCGATGGCTAAAATTTTCATATTTGCCTCTCAAAGAAAAATAGAGCATTCACATTCAAATACATACATAGGCCAGGAATATAGAATTTGAGGGTTTTGTTTGTTTGTTTGTTTTTCTCACAGCTTGTCTTACTTTGGTTCTATATTTCTGAATTCTCAGGGTAGAGTGTATATACACAGTTAAATACAGAACTGAAAAGCTGTAATTTAAAAAATAAATGCTATTAATGTCAGTTGCCAGTATTTCAAAAATAATGAACCTAACTTTCAATCAGAGTGGAAGCTGGGTTCTGAACACTTGCATGTTTTTTTTTATTTTTTGGATAAGACCATCTATAGATGCTAACATGAAAACAGAAATAAATGAAAATAATAAATTAATATTTTTTCCTTACAAAACAAACATTTTGTTTAAAGTTTACTTGTAAACAACTTGTAAGCATGTAAACCTGGGACATTAAATTCCTTCTTAGGTAGGTTTTTAGGCTTGATGTTAAATGGACAGAACACAAAAAGTTCAAATAAAGGCATACGTAAGTAAAAGAACTAGTATCATTTAATCCTTACATGTGTGTTCCAATTTCCTTTACTTCATGGTGTATGACATCATCAATACAACAATCAGGTTTAAGTTCAGCCACTGCGGCACTGGAGGCTGAAAGATTTAAACGCTGAGAACTTGTCTGAAGATCAGCCTTGAAAAAAGTTTAAAAAAAAATCTGTATGAGACTGGGTAGCTACAGGGTGTGGCAACACCTGTAGAGCAGGAACAAGGAAGTAGGGTTGACGAGTAGCAACACTTCTTGGTGTCAATCTTTCTATACAACTCTGAAGCCTAGAACCACGTTGATGGTTCATACATCCACTCAAAATTAAATAAATAAAATCAGCCAGGAAGTAGGGGGAATAGGTAATGGAATACAAACAGTACCAAATGAACACAACCACAGTGGAAGGGAGGGATGGGAAAAAAAGAACTAACCTAAGTAAGTATGGCAAACAAAAGCTAGAGACAAAAAGAATAGTATGTGAACTTGGTACTCTATTACGTGTGCCTGTTCACAGGGGTATGGATTAGCAATTCTGCAACTGTTATGTGTATACTAGGACTAAACAAAAAAATATGGATAACAAGAGAGAAGTTTCTTATCCTTAGAGAAAAAAATGGTGCAAGTGAGGGAGCAGAGAAGGCTGCAATGAAACCTTTAGTGTTGAGCTGGAACCTGAGGTATCAATATGAATATACAGTTTTAAAACATATATATAAATGGATATTCCAGAAACAAATATAGGTAGATGAGTACACATGTGCTACTATCTAACACTAAAAGTTAAATAACTATTCAAAAACAGTATTAGATGTTATTTATAGAACTAGAAATCAGCATTAAAGTCACCAACAAAGAGAGGACCACCTTCTCTAAAATAACAACCAGTTGCTTTCTATTGTATTCCCTTTTTGTTTCTTTTTGAACTTTTCTGTGATTGTCATAAATGGCATCCTCCTTAATCTCTAATATAGTGAATTTTTTATCAGTTAAAAAACAAACAAACGCTATTGGTTTCCAGTTAAACATGGTAGATTATTTTTATTCTCAAAAATGACACTAAGCTGACAGTAAGAGAATTTAAAAAGTACAGATTCACAGTCTTCTTTGATTCCAAAATTCCAAGAGTTGTAAAAAATTAAAGTTTTGAGAGCTGAAGTAATAACAGCAGTGTAATTGTGAATCTCCCAAGTCATCTCCCAAACCTTGTGTTAGTATAATTAGAAACTAGCAAATGTCCAAACTTCAAATTACCTGTAAGTAGACAAATATCAAATTTTTGCCAAGCTATTTCTCATGCTATTGTCATGTGTCTTGGCAAAGAATGAGAAGTTTAGGAACAGTGTAGAGATGGGCCTAACACTGATCTAAACCACTTCCAGAAAGACAAAGCCTATTCTAAGTGTGAAAATACTGAGAAAGTGCATTACTGGAAAGAAAACACTTCAGGGGAAAAAGAGTTAAAAAGGAGAGACAGCTTTTAGAAATGAGTGAAGAGGAAAAATTTAGGACACTACAATTCATATAAAAAGAGAAAATCTGAGGAACACACACCCCCTTCTTCCTCCATCAGCTTCCCCAAAGGCCACCCAGTAAAGAAACCAAACTTTGTTCACAATGCTTTAAGAGGGTGTTTTTGAATTTGGAATATCAAAGCACCTAAACTACATTTCATAGAATGCAAAGCCACGAACAGTCTTCATCTATAGAAAAATACTGTAAAAAGAGGGGCGGGGGCGGCTGGCTCAGTTGGTTAAGTGGCCTACCTTCAGCTCAGGTCATGATCCCAGAATCCCGGGATCGAGCCCTGGATCCCAAACACTGTGCTCTCTGCTCAGCAAGGAGTCTCCTTCTGCCTCTCCCCACAACTCATGTACACTCACACTCACTCTCTAACAAATAAAATCTTTAAAAAATACTGTGAAAAGAAAATAGATGAGAATTGAAATAATTCACTGATTAAAAACTGCCACCCAAAACCAATAGTAAACTATTGTGTACTAACAGAAGACAACCGTAAAATAGTCAAACTGAATTAACTATCTTCAAGAGAATATCTGAAATATGAAAAAACACCTAGAATGAGAAATTTTAAATCTAAGACTAAAACTTTTTGTTGTGTTCTTTTAGCATGGAGCTAAAACTTTTTTAAGAGAAGAATATATATGGTTGAATTCAGTAAAGAAAAACAGGACACAAATCATATCAGAAATGTGAAATGACAAAATAATAGAATATAACTACTATTAAAATACAATCCATGAAAACTTTTTAGAAATAAGAAATCTAAACTTACCTATTGAAAGGGTTCACTTGCTATCAGAGAAATGACATCAAACAACCAATTCTAAAACATACAGGGAAAAAAAAATCCCCAGGGCCTCCAGGAAAATTATCAAATAACTTACAAGGCAAGAGAATTAGACTGGCATTAGTCCTCTCAAAAACAGCATATATAACTGTTATAAGTTATATATATATTTGTTATAAGTAACAAAGGAGTAGCATTTTCAGAAGACATATAGAAGGAAAATATAATAAAGAATTTTATATCCAGCCAAACTGTCCTTCAAGTATAAAAACACTTTTGAACATTTCAAGGCTCAGAGGATATTACACCCACAAGCATGTCCTGAGCATACTTAAGAAATCCCCATCCAATCAACATGCAAATAAAAATGGGAAGATATGAGAAAGGGAAAAAGGAAAGTGGTCTAAGCAATAGGTAAGATTTGTTAAAGGATGCTATTAAAGACTAAAAGCCCTATAGTAAGCAGTTGAGTAAGAAACAGTGAAGGGGGGATATCATAAAAGGCATAAATATAAAGGCAAAACTTAAAACAAAAATACAAACTTTCCTAAACACAAAAGTTATTTGAAAAATAAGGAATGAAAACATGTTGCGCAGAGAAAAAAGTTATAGCAGATATAACATAATATGCTTACTATTTAAATAGACAATAACATGACATATTTGAAACCAACCATATAAACTTATCGATACATGTGAATGGACTAATTCATCTAACAAAAAAATTCAAGATGGCTTACAAAGCCAGACCAAATATGTGTTATATAAAAGAAACATCAATAAAAACAAAATGACTGGGAAAGGCTAAAAATAAAAAGAACAAAGACACACCAGGCAAATGGAAACAGTTTACAAAACGGGGTAGTGATACAGACACTTCAAGTAAGATTTGAGCTGAAAACCATTAAACATAAAAAAAGGAGAAAACTTTTTATATTATAAGCCACAATTTGAAACGAAGAACAAGCATCTGTGAACGAAACAGCATAGCCTTTATCAAGCATAAAGTATAAGATATAAATAGAAGCACACTAATAAGATTAAGATGTCATTTTCAGTGCAAAACAGATCAAGTTGACAAAAAAAAAAAAAAAAAAGGAAGTAAAGATAAAGATACAGGAGACCTAACAACACCATCAGTAAGATAAATCTTATGGATCTACATATCTAGCTTTACAATGGGTAACAGAAAATACACTTCTTCTCAATTACACATGAAATATTCATTAAAAATTAATATTAGCTCACAAAGAAAACACTAGTAAGTTGTATAAGTAGGAATAAAACGAGAAAAATATTTATCACAATGCAATTAAACAACCTTTAGATCATTAACCAGAAGGGAAAAAAAAAAGCTTTTCTATCTGAAAAACCCATTAAACAACTCTTGGGTAAAAGAGGAAATAAATACAAATTAAATTATAGAATTCTTAAAAACTAATCATAATGAAAACACTATATGTTAGAATCTGTAGGATATTTTTAAAGTGGTCAATCAGAAGAAAATTCACTTTTATCAACAGAAATAAAAAAATGAAAATTTAAAAATTAAATCCCCAGCTGAAAAGCTAGAAAAGAACAAAGTCAAAAATTAGAAGCACAAGAAAGGAGCTTGTTAAAAGCAAAAATCGATGAGGTAGAGAATAAAAAAAACAAGTAATGAAATATAAATTAAATACAAGTAATGAAAATAGCTTTTTTGAAAAAAAATTAAAATACACAAAACAAAAGATAGTTTAATGGAAAAAAAAGCAAAATTAGGCAAAATAAGAAGTGATCAGGGGAAAATAACACTGAAAGAGCAGAGTTTTTTAAGAGACTACTTTGCAGACTTGTATGCAAATACTACCTGAAGTGGAGCATTTCCTAGAATAAAACAGTTTAACAAACTGTTATACACTGTTAGATGTAAAAAGTTTAAACTGATCTCCACAGGAAAAAAGCAGAAATGTTACCAAGAAACTTCCCCCATCAGACACACAAGCTCACATGATTTCACAGAATTCTATAAACCCTACAAAAACCAGACAGTCTAAATGCTCCACATATATTGTTCATTAAAATGACACTGAAAATGAAGGAAAATTATCTCCATCTTTTATTAAGAAACCATAATACTGACATCTAAAGCTTTGATAGACAACATAAAAAAGAAAAAATCAGGCCAATGTCATGCTGTGCTTCCTCAGCTATATCCTCTTAAGTTATTCTGATGTAAAAAATGGCTTATGTGTGTATATCATGAATCTGAACATCTTACCTGAGAAACTAAGATAACCCTTCATGGGCACTGCACAATAAATATTAGCTACTATCATTATTAAATACTGCTGCCTTTATGAAATTAAAACTGAATAAAGCCAACATAAATACATATTTTATACTAAGTATGCTATATTATTACTTTCTTAAATACTGACTTAAATCATATGCACTTGGTGATTTATTCACCTTACAAAAATAATCATTTACTGAAAGTCAAGTGTATGCCAGGAAAAAACTTTATATACTCAAACTTCTCAAAGTCAGACCTTTTCACAATCAATATAGAGGCTGGCCAACTTTTTAAAAGGTCAGATAGCAAATACTTTGGACCTCACAGGTCATACAATGTCTTTGCAACTCTACAGCTCTTCAGTTGTAGCTTGAAATCTGTCCTAAGTAATACATAAATGAATGACTGTGGCTGTGCGCCAAAAAAACTTTACTTATGGACACCAATCTCTGTAATTTTCACATCACAAAGTAATAAGATTGTTTCTTTTGGAGCACTTGAAAATGTAGAAACCATTCTTAGCTCAAAGGCCTTATAAAAACAGGCAAGAGACCAAATTTGGCCTGCAGGCTGTTGTCTCCCAACTCATGGTTTAATAAAAGGCAGAAACTCCATCCCTGTATGACAAACATACAATCATTTATGAAAATTTTGCATCTAGTTTCTGGTAGTTGGGTCATATGTGAAATTTGGGATACTGGCTCTCTGAGGTTCTTTTCAATTCTAAATACTTGCTGATCACTTTAAAACTCATTTTAATTGGACTTCCCTTTTGGCAATGCTCTAGTAACATAAAGTTACCACATAAAGATCCCCTTGATGACTTCTCCCTTACCGTAAATCTTTACTTTCTTCATGCCCTTTCTCTTTCTGAATAAATTTCAGTCTCTGGCCATTCCACCCTGAATGCACCTGATCTCATCTGAATACATTTCAGACTGTTTAACTGAGGTGCATATTTTATCACTTGATTTCTAAATTACTGTGACAATCTTCTAACTGGTATATTTCCTACAAAGCAACCCATACAGTGCTTTCCTATCCGTCGTCCAACACAGTGTGAATACCTTTGCTCAAGAGGTCCCCACTGACTGCCCACTGCCTTAAAAAAAGGGGGGGTCCCTAAAACCTTTAGCTATAAGCTGGCTTTCAAGACGCTCCACTTCAGGCTACGACACATCTCTGTAACTTACCTACTTCTTCTATCAGTTGAATTTTGCTCACTGTTACAAAGAACACATTATAGATTCCCATGCCTCTGCTCCTGATTAGCATGTACTTCTTTTTCTCCAAATCCTACCACTCTTTCAAGATTCTCTTGTGTTTCTCCTCCAGGAAGACTTCGTGACTGACACGATCCTCTGTGATCCTCCCCTTTCAAATTTTACTGTGTTAATCACAAATTATTAATAAAAACTTGAACCTTTGGTCTGCTTTGTCACCCTAGCAATCACAACCTTTGAGAATAAGGAAAAATGATTCTGTGCTTAGCATATTATCTTATACCTTTAAGGGTTGAATTAATGCCTGCTGTTAATGAGAGTTAAAAGTCCAGTATCAAAATGCATTTTAAGGAAGTTTCAAAAACATAAGAAATTACAAAGCTTATAAAAGCATATACATATCCCAAACAAGAATGCCACTTACTTTTACTAATATATCTTTTACAACTTGATTGCTATCATTATGAACGCTGATATAACTGGAAAAGGTCTCTCCCAAAAATATATTCCTGTAAAATAAAGTACACTTTTAGTCAGAAATTCACCCAAGCTTTAATATAAATATTCTGTATGAGCACCACTAAGAACTTAAGATGGAGAAGAATTTACTAAAGGATAGAAATCACGTGGACAGTCCAGATAGCTCAGCGGCTTAGCTCCGCCTTCAGTCTAGGGTGTGATTCTGGAGTCCCGGGATCAAGTCCCATGTCGGGCTCCCTGCATGAAGCCTGCTTCTCCCTGTGCCTGTGTCTCTGCCTCTTTCTCTGTCTGTCTCTCTCTCTCTCTCATGAATAAATAAATAATCTAAGATAGAGATCTGTAAAATACTACTTCAGCATTCCTTTGTGTACCCTAGGCTGCTGATTCATTGTCCTGTATAGCTCAAAATACTGACATACGCTATAAAACGTGGTATCTATTATGGCCCTCAACTATTGCACAAACAGCCGTTTCCCTAGACATAAGCCCCTGAAATCAGACCCATGTTAAAAGTCTTATGATTTATTTCTGAAGAGGTTGGAAATGGCAATTTTTGATATAACTTATACCCTAAATCTAGAAGAGACCCAAGTAATCGATCTCAGTATTTTTTACCAATGTGTCTAGTTTTTTAAGTTATTTAATAACTTTAAGTTATTCTAATATAAATAATGGTTACATGACTACTGGCCTTTGTATTTTTTGTATATTTTATAAGAACTCTATTTATAAATATATATTACACAAAAATCCATAAAAATATTTTACATGAATATATTTCCAAGCTTTCAAGATACAAGTCAATGACCATATTCTGTAAACTGTTTTTAAAAACCTAAAAAATTCCATGTGGTCTTAAATTCTCTCAGTTGCAAACAGACTGAAACCAAGAGCTTCTACCTCATTAATAACCCAGAACAAGAGTAAGAAAGGGAACAAAAACTGACAGTTCTTAAAGAGCTGACAAGTCTTATAACTTATGTTGGGAGATGGGCCATGAAACTGAACAAAAAAGTCACTTCTGAAAGACATTTAGATTAAATCAGTAAAATAAAAGGAATACATAAAATTTTATCATCCTAGAAACCACTATTCATACTTTGGTATTATCTTTTTTTAATTTGCAGGGGGTTAGGAGGGGATGACAGAGGGAGAAGAGAGAGAATCCTAAGCAACTCCATGCCCAGCACGAGCCCAATACAGGGCTTGATCTCACCACCATGAGATCACAATCTGAGCTGAAATCAAGAGTTGGACACTTAACTGACATAGCCACCTAGAAACCCCCATCCCTCCCTTTTTTTTGTATCTTATTTTTTAGTTAAAACAAAACAAAACCCAGAATCACAAAGTATAATTTTGGTAAAATCTTTTTTTCTTTTAACCACGTAAGTGTATTAGGATGAGTAATTTTCCATTCCATAGTTATTTTATGAGAACATAATTTGTAATGGCTTTAAGTAATGTTGCATAGTTTATATCAACATATTTTTTTTTAAAGATTTTATTTATTTATTCATGAGAGACAGAGAGAGAGAGAGAGGCAGAGACACAGGCAGAGGGAGAACCAGGCTCCATGCAGGGAGCCCGACGTGGGACTTGATCCAGGGTCCCCAGGATCAGGCCCTGGGCTGACAGCAGTGCTAAAGCGCTGAACCACCCAGGCTGCCCTCAACATATCATTCTTACCCAAAATTCTGTGGTAAAGTCAACATTTCTCCCAACATTAAAATTTCTGCACCATTTACAGTTGAAGGATCATCTCTCATGAGTTGGTTAAAGAGGTCTCCTATAGAAAGAGAAAAACATAAATTGTAACTTATCTTGTAAGTTTTACTTCCATAAAGAAATAGCTTGAAGAAATATTTTTAAAAAGAATCTTAACAAAAATTATATCATAAAAATCTAATTTATAATCTTTACTACAACAAATGCATGCCAAAAAATTCTAGTTTCATAGAAAATGAACACTTCAGAAACAAAGGCAAATGAACGTCATGAGATAAAAAATATATTTAGTGAGCACTAATAATTTTAAATAAAGAGAATGCTAATACACACATTGATGGAACATTTAAGGATAAATAAAATTTTAGTGTCATGGCTATGAATGTATCCTTACTAAAATTAAAAGTTTCTTGTTGCCATGGGATATCAACAGTATCTTGACTTAGAGATTATGGGTGAGATCTACTACTTAGATGGTTACCATTTACATCATACAAAAGCTGACAAAGAATGCAGCAAATAATTAGTATAAGACTGGCAAAACTATGTTTATTCCAAGGTAATACAGGCAATCTGTGTTTCAACTTTTCCCTAAATGTAAGCAGAATAAAGCATACCAGGCAAGTCTTTTTCTTCGCATGTTACTGGAATATTGGTGAATAAAGTAGGCTTAGTTAACCGCATCACTGTGAATTAAGAAAAAAGAGAAAGAAAATTAAAATTAATTAATATTGCTTTGAGCTAGTATTCCCAAACTGAGTGTATGGTACTCATCAATTCTATAATAAAATCAAATACAACCTAAAACTCCCTAAATATAATATTAAGTACTTCCAAAACTCACACATCATTTACTAAAAATGTTAACTTATAACAGAAAACCTTATATGATTTACTTAAAACCTAATATATTAAAAAATTAAATGTAAATGTAGAATATCACATTATAGAAAAACTAGAAAATAAAGAAACTTTAAAGCTTAAGGTATATGAGAAAAAGACCTTTTTTTTCCCCCCAAAGATTTTTATTTATTTATTCATGAGAGACAGAGAGAAAGAGAGGCGGAGACACAGGCAGAGGGAGAAGCAGGCTCCATGCAGGGAGCCCGACGTGGGACTCAATCCCAGGTCTCCAGGATCAGGCCTTAGGCTAAAAGCAGCGCTAAACCACTGAGCCACCCGGGCTGCCCGAGAAAAAGACCTTTAAAATAATCTTGAGTGACTTCACTTTGAACAATATCAAGAAAATATCTTCCTGAAAGGGAAAAATGTTTTGATTCACCATCTTGAAGATGAAAGAGTAATTTTACAAAAAATGAATCTTTATAAAGCTTTATCTCTTGGTTCTAATTGCCAGCCACTGGAAGTTCAGTAAGTGGATCTTTATGTATTATTAATTCTGTACAGAAATTACAAAATTATCACTTAATGTACAGCTTTTTAAAATTCCAACCAAAATTAAGATTTGTTCTTGGGACATAACAGAGTGTGCCTGAAGCTTAGAAAAAGAAGTAAAAATAAGCTAGGGAAATTAATGGGAAAACAATGAGGAAGAAATGTATTTACCATATATTAAAAGGTAGTCTATAATCAACTAACTGGCTTATTAATGCAAGACCACAGATGTATTAGTTAAAAAAAGATTATTAGGATGCAGAAAAAAAATAAACATGACAAAGTGCTAGCACAACTGGTTAGCTATTTGGAAAAAATTAATAATTTAATTAAATTCATTTCAAATATCAAATAAATTGCCTATGTATCAAATATTTAACAGGCAAAAAATTAAGCCACAGAAAACTAAAAAGAGTGAAAATTTATGAAACCTAGCCTAGAGGATATTCCAACTAAAACACAAAATCTTTTTCAATTATTTTAAAAGATTGATCTTTGATCAGATCAAAATAAAGACAAAAATTTAACAGTAAAAATCATACAAACTTGGACGCCTGGGTGGCTCAGCGTTGGGCACCTGCCTTTGGCCCAGGGTGTGATCCTGGAGTCCCAGTATCGAGTCCCACATGAGGCTCCCTGCATGGAGCCTGCTTCTCTCTCTGCATCTCTCTCTCTCATGAATAAATAAATAAAATCTTTAAAAAAAATCATAAAAACTTGTAAAATATTTCAGAAAATTAATCAAAGAAGACTATTTCTTTATACTTTATTAAAAATGTTCATTCAAATCAAACCAAAAAACTTTTAAAGACTATTGCCCTAACTGGTCAATTCACAATATAAGTGGTATTCATTAGTATATGTAAACATGTACCACCTAACTACTAACTAGCGATATCATTCATACCAAATTTAGTGCCTTTATCCTGGTTTCAGCCTAAATGTCATCTTTTCCAAAAAAGAAGTAACAGCTCACCTTGTTTCTCTGATAGTCCCTTATATTTATCATGAACTGATATACATACTTATTTATAGCACTCTGATTCAAACTCCATGAGGTTTAGGCTCTTATGTTTTATATTGTTTTCTGGTTTTGTTGCTTGACATAGGTTCTGGCACATAGTATACTCTATAAATCTTTGCTGAATGCAAGAATTAGCACCTCACCCAACTCCTCAAGTAACTGGCATTATCTTGAAGATGTTGTTTCATAAACTGAGGTCATTAAACAATGTTATATTAAATAGATGGCTGTTGAGGGGTGCCTGGCTGGATCTTGGTCTCAGAGTCATAAATTCAAGCCCCATGCTGGGCATAGAGCTTAAATAAATAAAACAAAATAAAAACAGATAATATAACTAGATGGCTATTGAAACAGGCAACAGATATTAACCTTAAAATTTCTGAAGTCACTTGTATAACTGGTATTTACTAATGGTAGACAGTATGCTAAATACCTCACAAGTATCAACACATTTAATTCCCATGACTACAAATTTGGTATCATTATCTACCAAGGATGACACTTGGGGAAGGTACCTTGCATTTAAAAGACTACATAGCAGATAGGTTGCAAAATTAGATCTGAACTCAGATAAATTCACTTTGTTCAAAAATAATTCTCTATATTATTAATTATAAGTCTAGGCCTATTGGGCCATAAACCTGCACTGTCATGTCTTACCAGAAACATCCTATAGGAATTCAAAATAGGACTCCATCTCAAACAGTATTAACCAGCTAGCTACCGATTGTTAACGAGGCAGGCACTGGAAGTGGTTGAGGAGGTATTTCTAACTTTCTACTTCGCTCTTTTTTCTATCGAAAGTAGATTAAAATTAAGTACAATCTGAAGGGGATAAAAAAAAAACGCTCTAAAAATGATATAGATGAGACAGGTTTTTTTTTTTTTCTCACAATCCAAATATCTAAGACTCTAAGCTCACCTTTAACACCAAATGGTGCTCTCTATTCCCGTTTATTTTCATTTCAGAAGAAACCTAATTTTAATAAAAATACATTCTCAAGGGAATCCTAAAACACTCTTTTTAGGATTGTTAAAAAAAAATCCTAAAAAATCCTAAAAAAGTGTCCTAATTTTAATAAAAATACATTCTCAAGGGAATCCTAAAACACTCTTTTTAGGATTGTTAAAAAAAAATCCTAAAAAATCCTAAAAAAGTGTCCTTGAAAATACCATGTGATTTCACTCATATATGGAATTTAAGAAACAAAGCCAGCAAAAGGAAAAAAAAAAAAAAGACTGAGACAAACCAAGAAACAGATCGTTAACTAAAGAGAACAAATGGTTACCAGAGGGGAGGGGGGTGGGGACATGGGTCAAGCAGGTAAAAAGGATTAAGGTGTGCACTTGTATTGAGCACCCTGTATTGTATAAAGGTGCTGAATCACTTTTTGTACGCCTGGAACTAATATTATGTGTATGATAACTAACTGTAAATTAAATACTTAAAAAAAAAAAGATAAATTGTTTTTGAGTTTACCCAAACATGTAGCCAACTTATTTCCTTAGTATATGCTCAAACTTCCAATGTGTACAAAAAAGTCTTAGAAAGCTTAATTTTATGGATTCTATGATTTTCTAGGGGATGAGATAAGTAGTGGATAAAAGATAACCCTCCATTAAAAAAAAAAAAAACTTCCCAAACTGGTATTAAAAATATCTGTTTTCTTCATATTTTCAAAGAGGGTAAAAATTAGTGGAGGAGGGGGGATAGCAGTTGGTTAAGAATACTATCATCCTGAAGACTCAAAGAAAACTACTATAAAGCACAGTTTGTCATATTGCAGATTTTGAAACACAAACTGGGAAAGCCCAGTAGTAACTTAAAAGTATGACATATCAAAACCCATTATTTCCCGTCTTACAGCAAATTAATGAACCTCGAATATTACATGTAATGTTAGTTGGAAAAGAGCAAATACCAACAAAAGTAAGGTTTAACAAACCTGGCAGAGGAAATATAAAGCACTGGTTATTCATTTTTAAAAGATGTATTCACTTTATATATTTAGAGAGAGTACATATAGATGGGGGGAAGTTCAGAAGGAGAGGGAGAGAAGCATGGAGCCTGAAGCCAGGCTTGATGTTATAACTCTGAAATCACAACCTGAGAAGTCAAGAGTTGGGTTAACCCATTGAACCACCTAGGCACCCCAGTAAAGCACTGGTTATTAAAAGCTAATCTTACATTCAGCCTTCAATGTTAAAAAAGATTCTTGGTCAAAAATTAAAGAGGCAAAAAGAGTATGTGATTTTCAGTCAAGTGCCAAATCACGTAATCACTACACACAGCAACTAGCGTCATGTGTGGCACCATTCTCGTTGGAACTCACAAAACACAGACATTTTTATGAAATCTAGGTTTCAACTGTTATCTTATTAAAAAAAAAGTGTGTAAGTCTTCAATAATTTATGAAATTAATGAACTAATGAGGGGATCCCTGGGTGGCGCAGCGGTTTGGCGCCTGCCTTTGGCCCAGGGCGCGATCCTGGAGACCCGGGATCGAATCCCACATCGGGCTCCCGGTGCATGGAGCCTGCTTCTCCCTCTGCCTGTGTCTCTGCCTCTCTCTCTCTCTCTGTGACTATCATAAATAAATAAAAATTAAAAAAAAATAAAAAAAAATAAAATGAACTAATGAACTGGGCCAAGTTCAACTTGTGTATACATTTTGCTTGGAAATAACATGAAAGAATTAAATTAGGGAGAATCTTCTTCAAGTTCAGAGTCCTTAACTATTTTCTACAGTCTTGCCTGTCTAGTCTCTGAATAATTTCAAGTTTGTGAACTGTGAATTCTGGGCATTTTGAACACATATCAAAGTGAATCATTATGCAGGAGCTCATCTCTGAAATTCTCGAAAAAAATGGCCTTTAAGATATTTGATGAATTGGCAAATGAAGTTAAATTCATATGATACCCTCCACATCTTTCGTTTATTGAATTTCACATTTATCTGAAGGTAGAGAGGTTGTCAGGTAAAAAATAATATTATGGTACTGCTACCACTTTCCTAAATAGTAAATGCTATCAGTACTTTATCAAATGCCCTCAGAGATTCACCTTTCTGTACACATTCTTGTGTTCCCAATTATCTTCCAAATCTATGACTTAACAGTGGAAATGAGAAATAGTGCAGAGTCCTTCTATTAGCTAGTGCTAGAATCATCAGTCCTAAGGTTCTAAATACTCTAAAAAGCTTCAAAGTAGCAGTGGATTCTAAATTCTTAGGTCTTAATTACCTAAGTATTGTCTAGGTAGATCAG